TATATATTGAAATCAGTTTGTTTCTCTTAAGCTATGTTACTGGTGACATTATGCTTCCCAAATAAATAAGAAAGAGTGGTCCCAGCGGAATGAAATGTAGGGGATTCAATGGAACAATGGCATCTGGCATTGGTCAGAGGTGTAAAAATTTATGAAGGGGTTGAGTTTTGATAGGGTGGGGAAACCCTGTCCACCAAAATTATTATTTGTTTATAGAGTGTCATTGGACTGAGGTGTACAAAGTAATCAATAACCAGGCCCTTAGAAGCTCACTAAGTGGAGATATTGGACAGAGGTGTACAAAGTAATCATGATACAACCCCCTTAGAAGTTCATCAACTTGATATCACTATGGAAGTGATATCAAAGTGATATCATTTCCTTGTGTACAACCAAATTGTCTATGATAGAGTTGCACAACAAGCAATGTGGTTGGGGGAATTCTATAAGTTACGACATTTTATGGGAGACAGTTTGTGTCCAACCAATAACATGAGCAACTCTAATCAAACCACAAACATATATGAAAGTAAAACAAATGGCTTGGTTCTTTGGTTTAAATAATATATAACAATTGCGCAAGAGAATCACCGGATGGGTGATTCCAACAGATAAGTTATATGTTACACTGGTTAGAAGATGCAACACATTTAAGGATAGAGTTGGCCAAGGGGTAATGACCATTGGCCTGAGGCTGAGGAGGGTATTAAGAGTTTACAACCTTTTACGGGGGTATGTGTTCAAAGTAAAATGGTTAGAAGAGGCAAGACATTTAAGATAGAGTTGGCCAAGGGGTAATGACATTTGGCCACTGCAAAGTAACACTCCAAAAGATCATTGGCCTGAGGCTGAGGAGGGTATTAAGAGTTTACAACCTTTTACGGGGGTAGGCGTTCAAAGTAAAAGCCAAGCATTGTGGAGTATAAGGGAACAATGCTTTAATACCGTAGTCATGAGGTGTAGAAAGGTATTAATCAATTACAAACTTATATGGGGTCATCTAAGGGGGTATGTGTTCAATGTAAAAGGCAAGTTGTACACTTGTTGATCATGCAACAGATATTCCCCCTTGCCTTTGTGCAAGGGGGAATTGTTCCCTTGTTGGAAAACAATGGAACTATTTATTAATGCCTTAGCCTCTTAGGGTAGAAAGGTACTAATGAATGACATACTTTGATGGTGTAAGTGATCTAAACCATCCTTCCATGGAAGATATCTGTGGTCCTTTGCGCATATCTCTATGCGCGGTATCCGTCATTCTTTGCGCGAGTGCATCAGATGATATATCAAACGGAGTATGTAATACAATGGAACATTCCAAGCTTTCTATGCCCTGAGGCGTAGAGAGGTATCAAGATATTTACAATGTCACTATTTATTAATGCCTTAGTCATGTAGTGTGTAGAGATGTATCAATGAATGACAACCTTTGATGGTGTCATTCATTGTTCTAAACTATTGTGCATCTCTCTATGCGCGGTATCCGTCGTATTTTGCGCAAGTGCATCATATGATATATCAAGCGGAGTATGTAATAAATACAATGGAACATTCCAATCTTTCTATGCCCTGAGGCGAAGAGAGGTATGAAGATATTTACAATGGAACTATTTCTACATGCCTTAGTCATGTTGTGTGTAGAGATGTATCAATGAATGACAACCTTTGATGATGTAAGTGTTATAAACTATACGTCTATGAAATGTATCTGTCATCCGTTGGCCAAGTGCATCATATGTATATATGATACACACACTTGGGCAAGGATTAATGGTGGTTGCCCAAGTGTGAGTCATTGGTTCATTGGATCAATCCAAAGTCCATGATTAATGGTGCTTTGTAAGGACATTGGATCATTGGACCAAACCAAAGTCCTTGCCTGGCCTCAGGTCTAAAATCATATTATGGCACCAATTATGGTTTGGGAATACAATGGAGTCAGGCAATACAATGGAACATTCCAATCATTCTATGCCCTGCCCTGAGGCGTAGAGAGGTATCAGTATATTACATCCTCTTATGGGGGTACGAGTTCATTGAGTATAAACAAGTGTAACAGAAATTCATCAGTTACACTTGTTAGACATGCAAAATATACATGATACAGTTGCGCAAGAGGTGAAGGTATAATTTTTGGAGTTCATAATAAACTCCAACAAAGTCATCTTTTTATGGGGGTACAAGTTCATTGAGTATAAACAAGTGTAACAGAAAGTCATCAGTTACACTTGTTAGACATGCAAAATATACATGATACAGTTGCGCAAGAGGTGAAGGTATAATTGTTGGAGTTCATAATAAACTCCAACAAAGTCATCTTTTACACTTGTTAGACATGCAAAATATATATATCTCAGTTGCGCAAGGGGTGAAGGTTGAATGGCCATACATTGCATTGCCATTGGACTGAGGTGTAAAAAGATATTGAGAACATACACAGTTTAATTTCATTTAACTCAGGTATGCTGTGAAGGGTCAGCAATAATCAACAAAAGGATAGGTATGTGAGTAATATATGAAAGATGGTTAGAAATATAAAGCTCTTGTATGAAACAAGATAACATAGTGCCACTCACTTGAATGGCCAGTGGATTGTGAGATTGGTGGTAGATATCATTGATACCGCCTTGGTTATGCCTGGCAGTTATAATCTTGTTTTGGAATGCAGTATTCATTTCACAGCATGAGTTATCTTTCACAGCACATCAAACATACGGGTTATAACCCTTCAAAATTCAGAACCGCACCAAAATCAATGTCCTTGAAAACCAAATTCTCACAATTAATTACAAGGAAACGCCAAGCAATCTTAGTTGATTGCTTTGCATTTCCAAAGCACAAGTACTCTACACCTACTGTTGAGTATAGGGTGTATAAATTGTAAATTCAACCCATACACAACAAAAGAAAACACACTAGCCTTTTGAAGACCCTCACTTCAGTAAGAAAACATATTGTTTATTTCATGTATCCGAGTGGACGAAAAATCTTTAAAGTGTTTGACCTGGAAGAGCATCTTGATGATAAAAAATGGGCTCCAAAGTGTGTTATACCAGTGATGTCATATACCAGTGTAATGTCATAGAAGCGACTAAACTCGACCAAAGAGACGACTGAACTCATCAAAACTAAACACAAAACTAAACTAAACTAATCAAGGTTTTAGGCAAGCAGTTGATCATTACACCAACTTTTGGATAGAAGGATGTAAGGACTCGAACAAAAACACGCAATCAAGGAACCCTAAAATATGTTGGCTGACCAACAAATAAGCCAGAATACATATCACCCATTTACATGATTCCGAGTAAAATAAACAAATTGTTTGTTACGACCTTACTGATAAAGTAATTGGAATCACAGAAGTTAGGTTTAACCACGTACTAACTAAGAGAGATTTTACTCACCGATATGTAAAAGTTCTACTTCTTCCACTTTCTATCTTTCAGATTGACTATATCCTCGGCATCCCTAATGTGACGTTCACAATTGGACTTATAGTTAAATTGCTCATCAGTACCAGCCTTTGCACAGGCACGGGCCATCCTGTGAGTGATCTGAGATGAACACCCCAGGCGGGTGTAATGAACTTTCTGGCCCAATTCGTTTATGTCGTCCTTTTCCTTTGAGGGTAGAGTATGATGGAAAGTAGTCTTACCATTCCAAGCGATTTGTACCGCGTATTTTGTGCCTAAGTTGAAGGCCACTCTGTACTCAGGAAATATAAACCAGCCCCCAACAAGGTAATAGCCTTCACATTCAGTTACTATCTTACCACTCTCACTATCAAATGGGTACCAAAGACAGTATACCTTGCCCTTATCATTGTCGGTATGCGGCTTATTGTAGAAACCTTCAAACGTAAAGGCAAAATTAGCCGCAAAGTCAAGCGGACCGGAAGGTTGAAATCTTGAAGTCGAAGCCATTGACGGAGCTTTGAGTTTGTTTAGCTCGTTACGTGCGATAAGGAATCCTTGATCACAGAAACTTCAAAATCGAGCACCAACACGAGAACCAAATCCAGGAAGATTACAGAGGAAACACTTGTATAGCCGCTTTGAAGCGCCTTTCATAGGCATATAAGGAGAAATAAGGATATCACTTGAATAGCCTACGGTTTGTCCGAAACAGAACATTTTACCCGAAATCAGGGCAGCATTCGTAGTCAATGGTTTCTTCGGCTTAACAGTTGCAAGAGGTGTCATTTTTGTGGAAGGTTCCTCAGATAGGGCCAATTCATTATAGTCCATATCATCCGATTCGGCATTGTCCACGTCAGAAGGTGGGAGTGAAGATAGGGGCGAAGATAGGGGTGTTGAATTAAGAGAGGACAGTGGGGAAGAATCGAGAGCTTGATCAATAGTATGTGATTCCAAAGTGAGACTTTGTTCCATAACGCCATCTACATCCATATCCATGTCAATGTACTCGGTATCAGAAGGCGGGAGTGCAGATAGGGGGGAAGAGTCCATTAACGTAAGAGGGCATGACAATTGGTCAGGAGTTGAGACCCGGTGAAGTGCATGATCAACAAGACTTTGGGATATGTTCGTCGTATCTTCTTGCAATATAGGTCCAGGTGAACTTGGGCGGCCATCGGGATGCTGGTCGGTCGGATTAATCACAGTTGGACAACGAGGGAGGGGTAACCGTCTAAATAGCTTAGTTGCCATCATGATTGTGGTAACATCCTTTTCATGTTTCTCTCGTTCCTCAGAAGTTATAGATTCCAGGTCGTCATACAAAAATGTGCAAATAAGCTTCTTAGATTGGCGATCAACAAATTGTCCATTACCATGGGTGACAATAGTATAGAGATTGTTTACTATCTCCATGGTCCGTTCAAGATTTTCGAAAGGGAGGATAGGGTCGTCAAATCGAGTTAACTTGCGATCAAAAGTTCGTTTTGCTGAGTTAGCAGACTGATCAGCCTGCTTCGCTGCCAAAAACCGAGCAGCCTTAACAGAAGGCAGGCGACTATAATAGGACACTTCATTAGTCTAACATTTATGTGATTCCGCAATAAGTACGATATTGACATACGTATTTTCTTTACCACTTGCCTTCACCTTCACCACACGCGGTAGAGGCTCGGGTACATTTTCAAACCCCTGCTCGCGATACTGATCCAAAGCCCTTTGCCTGGAAAATTTACATATCAAATGGGTGAGTCAGTCAAAGGAAGTTAAGCGTGGTATTAATGATAACAGATAGAAAGTTTACTAACACTAGTCGACCTTTACCCGAAGTCGGATCAGGCCCTAGCACAGCGAATTTGCAAGCTGGGTGTAGCCAATTGCCAGTACTTGGGTAACCATCCGGGGCCAGGAGCTCATGTGGTACATGAGCATATGATTTTCCAGTGCGGAAAGGCTGGGGGAGCTATAAGTAGTAGGAGGAGGTAATAGTATGGAGGATGTAAGTAAAGTTAATCCAAGCCATAAATCACGGGTTGTAGCTTACATCCTGATCGCTGAAACCTGTTTGACGTTTTACATCAATGGGCTTTAGAAGATCCGAAAGATATGTTACGCCAGGCAAAGCAGTGGAAACACTATAATTAAGTTTCACCTTGGTTAGTTTACATCGATAGAACGTTTTGTGAGCATTATAACCTCACCTCTCATTTGATCCAATAGGGAATTTGTCCCTCTTGCGTTTCTCCCATCCAGGATCTAGGTCAGTCGACATCGTGCCTGGCTTTGAAACCGCCGCAAATCATGGCTTAGTACTTAGTTTCGCAAGGTCATCTCAGCACCTGGGATGACATGGGAAACATACATATCCGGGGCGAGTGGAAGAAGTTGCAATCTGGATGGATGTCTGGTTATGCAGAAGCCGTCTCTCCACCCAGTTGCAACTACTACCGCTCACCCCAGACCTGTAGTATCATAATCATCCCAAGCTAGCCAAAGATGATTGCTCCAATAAACAAATGAACGAATAGTAAAGAAATGATAACTTACTGAGCTGAAGGTGATTCAAGGGTAGTCACCTCCGGACTCAATCGGCTGGGTTCAAAGCTGTTGATACGAAATTGATAACTTGATAAGCCAGTTGCCGAGGAGCTGAACGAACGCGACAAAAATGGACGAAAATGTGTTAGAAAAAGTAAGCGGAACCAAGATGAAGGGAAAGGTGACTGACCGGAGAGGGTTCGACGTGAAAGGTGGAGTTGTACGATGAACGGCTGTGGATGATGGGGTGTGGAACTTGGCCCTAGTGTGGATTGTGCCACGTAAGCACGTAAAAAGTCGTGTGAAGTGAATTGACCTACATACATACAAGGCCATACTTACACTAATGGTCATTAAATTACACAAATATTAAGACCCAGGATAAAAACCAGTTAGTTACGTCCAACATATGAATTATCTACATGTAATATCATTGGTCACCTTAAATCACATAACATTGCCCCTAAATTTAATTGATTGGTTTTGTCGAAATTTTAACACACTTAAATGACGACCCTACAGTACGCTCCTGAATATCTTGTAGAACCCCCAGTGGCTGGCAAAGGCTCTACACAATTGATATCTTGACGGTGGAAATATTATTTATTAATACCATTCACAAACTAACAGAATATTTACAAACTGTACAGTCAAATCAACAAAGGGCGCATTCGAATCTTTTGTACCAGGGATTTGGAAAACTTCATAGGCTCGTGTCATCATGAGAATGTAGCCTGCTTTGAAAATAAATTGAAATGAGAGAGCTGAGAGTGGAAGTTGAAATCCCATTTCTTTGGAAACATTAAAGTAATCAGTCTGACATTAGTCCCATGGTCTCCTGAGGTAAATCGGTGTTAGAGTGAGGGTCACCAGCAGTGGTATCAATTGTTTCAACGATGCCGTCCGGGTCAGGTTTGCCGGCCTGAACGACACGATTGATAATATAATTTTTCATTTTAATATCTTCAATCCAAATGTCCACTTCGTCATTGGAAAGATGGCCAGGCCCCTTTGAAAGCATCAGGTCTGTGATACGGCTCTGCGGTGTGCAAATAAAATTCAGCTTGATATCACCGCGAAAGGTCTTTGCTTCAAAGGCGGCCTTCAAGTTGGGAACTTTAGGATGTGCGTCTCCCCTGCCCATATAACCCCCACGAAGGTACGGGGCTTTTCACGTATTTTGATTAGCAATTTTATGATGTTTTATGTGTGATAACATGGATTTGTGCTTACCTATCAATCCATTAAGGGCGTTCGCGAGCTCGGTCCGTCTTTGGGCTTGTCGTGCTGCACCTTCACACATAGGCTTAATTTCATTTCGTTTAGGGCGCAGATGCAGTGGTGCCTTCGTTGATTCGAAAGTGAAGCACTCGAGTAGGTGATTCTTTTGTTGGTTGCGGGCCCAGCGATCACAAGAGGTGAACTCATTCTGAAAAAGGGCTCGTGGGGCCGACGTTCCTGGGTTCCAACTTGCGACGAGAAGGTGAAATTGTAAATTGAACTGATTTTTTAATACGTGGAGCTAAAGGCAGGAGAGAATGGTTGTGAAATCATTTGATGTGTTAGTAAATTAACTTTGAAGATACGCTTTAGTATGTAATTAATAGCTAGGTTACCTGTCGAACAATCTTGCTGATTTTGAGTGTCATTAAGTTCTCCATCGATCGATTCTTAGATTTCCCACTGTGCCTCCACAAGCGGGCCTGGTACAAGTCATGTGAGACTTTGGTTAAATTGACTAGGCGCTCAAATACTGGAACATATTTATCGACTTCGTCTTGGCTTAGCGGTTCTAAGGTTGAAGCAGGGGTTTTAGTAGAGGGGGTCTGTTCCAGCGGAAGATTGGGAGTAATTCCTAATGGGGTTTTAGTTAATGCATACGCCTCGCTAGTAGCTACACATAATCGCTCGAATAGACGAGGGGTGAAGACTTCATGTTCCTCTTCGTTATAGGTGGACCACGTGGATCCGACGATGGCATTACGCTCCTTGAAGCCAACTGATGTTCCTTTAGGTGGCACTAAAAAACCGTAATTGGTTGGAATGTTAAGTTAGTAAACTTATATTTTATGTAACGTTGAAGAGAGATTGAAGTTGATTTGTCTTACTTGTGGTTGTTGTTGCCACGACACTATAGGTCTGGTAGTTAGTGTACATGTTTGGCTCGCGAGCCAAAGGTCCTTCAAGTCTAATAAGGTGAATGTAAAAGATGAGGAATTAGTCAATTTGGAATCGATCCAGTTGGGATAAGGGGGATATGACTTACAGAGCTTCGTCCAATACTCGGCGGCTACATTTGAGGACCAGGCAGAGCATGGTCTTATCCAACTCGTAGTCTGATTGTAAGGCTTGTGCCTCATACAGGCCAGTAGGTGAGAGGTTCTTGGGGAGAGTTAGAGATGCAAGTGCTTTTTGCGCGTGCTCCGTTCCCCATTTCCGTCCGAGGTCCCGGTAGTTGGTGATGGTGGGCACCATGTTGATGTCGAGATCGTCATCTTCTTTGTCTGGATCGGGAAGGATGGGGGGTTCAATTGCAGTTTCATTGGGTCGTGCTCGTTTCCGGGAGGTTCTTTTTGGCTGTCCTTGAGTGTGAGAAGCTTGAGGCTGACTTTGTGTAGCTCTTTGTTGACGCGCGGTTGTAGTGATAGGGGGAGTGATAGGTCTTGCGGTTCTAGTCGAGGTAGTGACAGTGGCAGGGGGAGTGAGAGGGGGTGGCAAGTTCCATTCGCTGCCAGAATCGCTTTCGTTTCCAGGTTCGCGGTCAGGACTAGGAGGAGGAGGTGACGACGCCGCCCGACGTCTTCGAAGTCCAGGACGCATCCGTTAGGAGGTAGTGGGCGTTGTGTATGATACGGTGAGGGAAGCTTGATGAGGATAAGGGCGTCTGGAGGTGGGGTGTTCTTATTGGTAGTGATTGATGACGAGTCGTGGGTTTTGGTTTCGGGTGTGGTGGTGAGTTGTTTTTCGAGATGGTGACTTTTGGTATTTGGTGGTGAAATTTTTTTAGTGGTAAGTTTTGGTTTGCGGTGGTGATGTTTGTATTGTACATAGGTTGTTTTTTGTGATGGTGACTTTTTGTACTTGCTTGGGGGTGATATTTTTCGTGGTGGTAAGTTTTATATTGTAGTGGTGATGTTTGTAGTGTAGTGGTGATTTAGTTTTCCGGGTGGTAAGTTTTTTCATGTGGTGGTGATGTTTGTACTGTAGTGGTAAGATATGTAATGCAGTGGTAATTTGAAGTTCGGGGTGGTGAGTTTTTCAATGCGGTGGTGAGGTCTTTGCTATGGTGGTGATATGTTGAATGAGATGGTAAGTTCTCATGCTTAGGTGGTAATGGTATTTGTATGTACGTGAGTTCACCAAGGGGGTCCCCTTGGAAAAGTGGGGACTTGGCCATTTTCATTGTGTAGTGAGGATGACCCTAGGAGCAGCTATGCAACTAGCTAATTCTATAGGGACGTTTTCGGAGTACATGCGATGATGCAGTATACAGTATCATCCAATACATTAGGTGCGATCCAGTGCGCACAGGTGAACCTAACACATAAAAGCAAATTAGATTTTGTTGATGCTTTAGTCAATGAAGGTACAAAGAGAAAGATAAGACTCACTTTACCAACTTTTTGAGTTGATATCCAATCTGTTACTATCTTTAGTACTTTATGGTCATCTAAAATTGAAGGGTGTGGTGTTGAAAGGCCTCACTGTGATATAGACAATTGATTATGTATCACAATATAACAGGCTTGCTTTTGAATGCAAGCAGCATGAGCCTTCCCCGTCTCAGAGCCAGTTAGAGGTGCTTGCCTTTGAAGTAAAGATGTTGCTGCAACATCCATTGAAGCCTTCATGCTAGAGCAACATTTGTTGGCAAGGTTGAGTATTTTTTGACGATGATTGAACTTGCAGAGCTCAGCCAAAGAATCAAATTGGTGCATTGCGATGGGAACAGAGCTGGTGTTGCGGTCATAGAATGATACAGCTTTCTCAATTGATTCATTTAATTTGAACCACTGTTCATTTATTGATTTAATTTGTTTATCAGTCTTGACAATGGGCAAAGGTGCTTGATTGAGAGCCTGAGAAGTAATGTGATCTAATTGGTCAATAGCAGCCTCCTCAAAGCCAGATTCTGATCCACTATTTTCTTCGGAATCACATTCAGATTGAAGTTTGTTTTGATGATTAAACTTATTCAAATATTCATTCTCATTGTCCATAAGCTCATAATCTTCAAGTTCCATCTCGTCTTCATCATCGGTATCATGTTCACTATTACATTCACTAATATACATGCTTTCATCAAAGTCTGTGTGTTTAGTATCTTGCATTTTGACTTTGACATCAATGTTGAACTAGTTTGCATTTAGAGCAGACCATAGCAGGTGAAAATTTGCCCTAGTGTGCAAGCCGATTCCCGCCCGCGGGTCGGACACATGTACCAATGCATCCTTCCACAAGAAGAAGCCGCAGCCATCCACAGTTTCTTGTACGTTCCAATATGTTGTAGTATTTAAAGCTCAACAAGAGCTTTACAACACCTAAGAAGGGATAATCTACTACGTGTAATATAGTAGAAGTTGCCTAAAGACTGCCTTCTTCAAAGAAACCAGCACAAGGGCACTTGCTGACCACTTTGTGATAACAGAGAACAAGATAAAGGCACCAGAGAAATAAAGCAATACTGTTGTGTAGTATTATTCCCAGTTTTAAGTGCAAAAGAGTCCACACACTATGTTTATTACTAGCAATACTGTTGTTAAGTATTATTCCCAATTGACTTTTAGTCTTTAACACACGTAAATAAATTTCTCCTTGCTTTGAAGGGGCGGATTTAAGTGATCTTAGTACAAATATAGTAAATAAATGATGATTTATAACACTACAACAAAGGTATAAGATGCAGAAAAGGGAACAACAATCCCAAAATTATCAAAGAGTATATATATCCACATGTAACAACCTCTACAACAGTCAACAGCCTCAAAAACCAGTCAAATCCGCCTAAAGAATCCTAAAAACCATGTAATGACGCAATGTAATGATCTTGTTACCAATGTATGATGTAATCTTCACAGCTAAAAGTGATCAATGACGCAATGATGTAATGTACAGCACTTCTTAAGATGAATACAGGTGATTTTTTCCTTGTAAACTAGCTGAAAACCAAATTTTGAGATTACGAATTTTTTCAGATGTGCTCCAATTTTGATCTACTATAGTGCATCTTGTATCCCTCGTGATACTGATCATTTCTGACACCCATATGACCTACTTCTGATGAGTGATGAGTAAGATATTGAGCTGTGAAGTTAAGGTTTTTGGTGTTACATGTTGACTTGTGACTGTAAATTCGAGATTCACACCAATTTCTTATTTGCCTTATAACTTTTTTCATACACCTCCGTTACTAATAATTTAAAGATTGTACATTATGTAATCCACTCTTCTGCGTTGAATGAGCTATTTATCAACTTAATCTGACGTCATTTGACATATGTAATAAGCTGAAAACCTTCATTTTTGACAAAATTCACCCATTTTCTTCACTTTCCACAGCTACTACTCTCTTTTTCTTGCTCATGTAATATGACATTATCTTCTATAACCTTAAAAATCCCGGAAAGTCCTCTTGGCAACCCTAATTTCCACTCCTACCACCATTACATATGTAAACTACACGCATAACCCTTGTTTACCAACTTTGAAAAAGTACCTTTCTCCTAATAACTTCTGTTTTTCCTTATCAACCTTGAAGATTAAAATTGTTACTGTATAATAAACTGTTGTTCTTTCATATTCTAACCTTACTAAACCCATAAACCTAACATTAATACCCTAAAAAACCATTTCCAACTTTTACACCTATATTTTCGAATTTTTCTTATCTTTTCTTTTTCTGTCTTTTTATAATAACTTTGTAAGTAAACTATGTTGATCTTAAGAATAATTTTGAAATGAGATGACATAATATTGAGCCAATAAGTATACATAAGCCTCTAAGAGCTTCAATTGATCTGAAATCCTGAATTTCAAATTTCCTGCTACACTGAAGTTTTCTAATACAGTCGTTCCAAATTCTGTTGTCAATCTGAAATTTAATAAAATAATAAATTGGCCAATACAGGCCAATTTATAAGCATAGCCTTCAATCGAGATTGGGATATCTCGACTGAAGCTGTTGACCATTTCCAGTATTCCGTAACCCTCGATCCCACCACTTCACCCATATCCACAACACCTATACCATTACCACCACCGATACCACAATGCCCACGAGGACCACTAAAAAACAACGTGCGGACAACGCAGCACAAGCAAAGAAAGATTTGTAAGTTTCTTTTCAATCATTTCTTTTGATCATTTCTTGTTGACCATTTCTTTCGATCGTTTCTCTGTTGACCATTCCTTTTGGTCATTTCTTTTGTTCATTCCGACTGATTGTTTTTTCTTTAGTCAAGCCCGACGAGACCGAGTGGCTGGGCCAGAAGGCCTCAGTCCTGATCTTGGAAGAGGTGGAACCCCTTGCCATTTCAACAAGTGAGTTTCTTTTCAAATTTCTTTCTTCAAATCATTTCAATTGCTGATTGCCTTTGATTTGGTATTTTAGAGACGGGCATCATTGGGAAACTTGTGCCACTGGCGAACGTCAATATCTTAACACCGAGGTCTTTCATATCGACCCATTTGCTCCAGTAGGCCACCGAGAATTCCGTTGTCGACTCCACCTCGAAACCAACAACGGTGAGTTCTTTCCTTACAACTTGTCTTCTCCCTGTCCTTTCTTTCCCTTCTTCCTTATTTTTGGTTTATTGTTTTCTTATTCTCCTGTTTCTCTTTTCCCAATCCACTCAACTGTTTTTAGCCCCACAACCGGCTCAAGAGGCTATACAAGTCGAACATGGTCACCAAGACCCAATGTTCACCACTCCAACAAACGACAACCGAGCTTCTCCGAGTAAGTAAAATCTGATCTATGCCTACCGCAATTGGAGGAATTGTAACTGATCATATTTTCATTCAGAACCACATGTTGAAATCGATTTGACTCGATCACCACCACTCCCAGCACCCGCCTACTCGGTTCAACCTGCACCTGGTGTGGAGTTTGAGGCCAAACCGAGTCACGTCAAGATCTGGTTTCATGTCTTCAGCGCGATTCCAAAGACCAAGGCCGAGATGCAATCTGGAGCCACCCAGAAGTACAGTGACTATACCACCGCAGAGCCCTTCAATGCCACGATACAGGTGCACGGTGCTCACCTCATCGATGTACGGGATTCAATCTTCGATGCTTGTGATGCTCACAAGACGGTTTGTGGATCTATCCTCAAGGAATCTTTTGAAGAAGGCCACCTTCAATTCAAAAGTTACGTCGCTGGACGTGGAGACTTTCTTAAAACAGATATGAAGACTATTGCAACGGAGGAGATCCTGGATAAGTTTAAGGAGACGATGATCAAAAATAAAGATAGTGAGGTGGGTTTTCGTCTTAACATGGACAACCCAAAGACGGTCAGACGTTTGAAATCAAAAGTCAGTTCTTTTTCTTTCCATTTCTTTTCTATTCTTTCCTTTTTATTGTTTGATTGCTCATGTTATCTTTGATGGATTGAACAGGAGGACGAGTTTGATCGATCGACTGTCAAGAACCATCCAAACTCATTGACTCCAGCCCGAGTCAGCGAGTTAGAAATGCTAGTAAGTGCTCTTTTTTGCTTTGTTTTCAATCAATATGTTTATTGATTCCTTCTTTGTTACAGGGAATCAATGTTCGACCTGACTGGCAAAAAGCCAGAGTGGGGCTCATGAGACGATTTGGGTGCATCTCGATTGGAGGTAGAGAATGCATGGGATGCATTAATCCAGCAAATACTAAGGAAGCAGTGTATTTGAGCCATGCGATGATGGACACTTGGGCTCAAGACGCGGTGAGTCTTCCTTTTCATCCTTCTCATTTTCCTCATCAGAGTTTTCTCATCAATCATTTCTATTTTTTAGGTGATGCATAAGCACGGTGCTACTGAGCTTCTACCACCCACTGGACGAACTGAATTTCGATGGATTCCAATCCACCCTAAACCCGGTCGACGATCGGAATACACTGCCGATACCGTTCAATCAACCTCACAGATTCCTGACAATCGACCTGAGTCGCCAGCACCTCTTCCTTTGCCTGAGTTTGAAGATTATCTCAAATGGGCTAAGATTGCGCCCAATGATCAAGCAACCCGAGCTCTTCTAGTCAAATGCGACATTATCAACTTCAAAGCATTCCTGTCTCCCTCAATGGATGTTACTGCCCTTGAGAGGTTGGGATTTGCTTTTGGCACCGCTGTCCGTCTACATGATAGTGCACCATCATATCGTACCGACCTCAAGGAGCGCAAGGCAATGCAAATGGCCTATCTTGACCAAATAAAAGATCAATGAAAGATTATGCAATTGGTAATCAGTCTTGTAAACATTACTTATCCTTGTAGCTCAACAGATTATTGTTGTATTCATTATTAACCCCCCCAAACAACTGTATGACTGGTTATATGTACTGCTGAAATTAAAAACATGATTTTGTGATGTATTGATCCATAAGATGAGACTCTGCCCCAAGTGAGAGACAATTCAAATGAGAAGTAAAATTTTCTAGTGCTCTCCCGTCTTATTTTTTGATTTGATAAATCCATTGATAAGACTTGAAAATAACATTCAGGTTCATCAGGAGATTTCTACATCTTTTGACTTCTGAGATGTGTGGTTTCTTTGATTGCTCAGATTTTATTCAAAAAATTAAAACTTGATCCATGAAAAGAAACTCTTGAATCATCAATTCTCTCATAGAAACTTGGGGCAGTAGGAAAAAAACGCAGAATGGGTATGAGAGCCCTTTTTGATTTCTTAAACACAAATAAAGAAGTTTTTTTTGAAACAGGCTGCTGGACTTGTAGTGATGATTTAAAAGTGAAACTGTAATCATACAATAAGTCCTTTAAAGATTAAGATGATTACCCGGTATTGAAATATCCACAAGTCTTGTAAAGACTCATTATCAATGAGCTGGTACAAACCTCGCTCATCACCACTAGCATACAACCCAGCTTATCAACAGCATTATCCAACATCCGGTTCCTCCTAAGCCTGTCTTTAAATACATTGAAGAGCCGCTCGATGGGGTTGAAATCCGGCGAAAGGGGTGGTAGATAGCGTATGAGAATCCCCATCTCTTCGCACATCTCTTCGATCGCTCCACCGCGATGAATGGTGGCGTTGTCCAACACCAAGACCGAATTACGAGCTGGATACGGATTCATCACTGGAAGCTGGAATTGATACATCATCAGTTTGAATGATTATCAACCAGAAGCTTAAAGAGATGAACAACTTACCAGGAGGTGCTTCAAGAACGCCTCAAAGTCGACTCGAAGATAGGAACCAACTTGTGAGTGGGCTGCCAACAATCCCATCTCACATACAGCTGCAAGCATGCTGTAGTGAGGTCCAAGTCGCTTTTGTTTCAATTTTGGTGGACGTTTGCCTTGCTTGGATCGAACCTTTGAGCGCATCACATCTAGTGTTTGGAGCCCGGTCTCGTCTAATTGATGCAATAGTCATGCTACAGGTCAGTTATTGAGTCAGTTATCAAAGACAGAAAAAAGGAATCAAGCTTACCCATGAACACAAGACATTTGTGTGGGATATTGGCAAGCCGAATTGAATAATCAGTTCGAAGCTTGGGTGATTGATTGGGATCGACCTTGGAAGCTTTGTGAACCGTAAGACAGAGCCGTTCTTTCAAGTCGTTGGCGATGGTCTGTAAAGATGCAGGGGTATCGGTATGATTGTACATCGCCAACTGGATCTCGTCAAGGAATAGAGTTGGATCGTCATCGATGAGCTCGACCATGAATGCACAATCTTCGGCCAAATAGATGGTGTGACGACCTCGTTTCTCATAGGTATCCGGGTCTCTGACTACAGCGTGGGTACGTTCGTAGAGTAACTTCCATCGTGAGAAAGAACGTGGACAGATGTCGGTGGTAAGTTTGTCGTTGATTTCGTCGATTGATTGACCTCGAAGCAATTTGTTGACGGCAATAACTTTGACTTCAGCGCTGTACTTGATGAACGGCATTTTGAGTGGAAGGAATTGGAATCTGATGTGTCGAATAGGAAGTGTTGTGGTGATATCGAGGGTTATGGAGTGTGGTGGGATCAAGGGTTATGGAGGTGGATGAAACGGTCAACAGCTTCAGTCGAGATATCCCAATCTCAATTGAAGGCTACTTATAAGCATAAATTGGCCTGTATTGGCCAATTTATTATTTTATTAAATTTCAGATTGACAACAGAATGTGGAACGACTGTAACTTGGTAAAGTGAAGATGATTAATTTTTTTGCTTAATATCATAAATAGATCACCACAACGTTTAACAGTGTACCAAAGGATATTGACATTTCCACAATTCAAGACCAATATCCCACCCTAAAATTAACTAAGCTTCCCATTCAACTCTTCCTATTGTTTGAATCTTGTCATCACAGCTCATCAACATCATATCATATGATTGTGAACAATTAGGGCAGGTAAGTAGGCCACTTTTTCACTTGTTTTGGCCCATAAATGAGCAAAAAAGTGCCATACTTGACCTGCCCTGTTGTATTCCAAAATAATGCTTTAGAAGGACCTCGCCAAATGGTGTCTGCTACCTATCCTGAAATATGAGAATTGATAACCTGAGCACAGCTCACCATCTTTGCAACACTGTTGGTGGGTTGTCTGAAAAGGGCCAAAGGTTCCTTACGACCCTCACCTGTGTCATGCCCACCTTGGAGAGAGCCTTGATTCCGCACAACCTCAGTCAACAAGGGCATTACCAATGACTGAATATCTTGCGTTCTTTTTGGGAATTGGTAAATGGATGCTTGTGACCGGATGAGGCATGCTGCGTTGACTGCGCAGGAAATTTACAAATTGTGATCCGTCCTGGCGGCGGGCGGGAATTGGGAACCACAACTCTGCTGATGCTCACCATAGTGGTGAATTGTGAACATTGGCCCCTTTGTGCAACCCAATTCCCGCCTGTGGGACGGCCAGATGTTACTCATTTGGAATTACAAATAGAGAAATTAAGCATCACAACTCCGTACCGTCAACAATCTCAAATTCTGCTTGGAACTATTCCAAATGCACTTTTTGTAATCTCAACTCATTGCAGCTCACTTCTCATCCAATATCACTCAACATCAAAATCTACTTCTGCATAATCAGAATGCTATTGAAGGACCTTGCAAAACGGAGATGCTCAGCGGTAGCATGATGGATGTTCATTAGCACTTTCATCTACTTTTTTGTGCAAGTGCATAACGTCCTCCTCCTGGCAATAGTATAGACAGAGTCTGTGTATTTTGCACATATCATCACCAATCATTGCCTTGGCCTGATTAAAATGGATGGATCAGCATGTGATGATGTATCCATTTTGATTCTTTGTATTTCACATCCGAACCTAAAAGCATGAGCCACTTCCAGAGAGAAAGGTTGGAACCAATTACTCAATGACTCGCGTTCTCTGTTTGGATTTGGTAATTGGATGCTTTGAGGGATGCTGTGTCGACTGCGCAGAAGCTTTGATTTTTGAAATCCGTCCTGCCGGCGGGCGAGAAACGGGAATCACAAGTCTGCTGATGCTCACGGTGAATCGGGGTTGTTGTGATTGGAATCACAGAAGCTGATCGATCTCGATGAATGGGAAAGTGGAAAGCCGACTTGATTGAAGGGTCTGAAAGTCGGCCCCGTGGGGTCATTTTGAAAATTCTTCGAGTATTTTCTCAATTTAAGAATGACAAGGACTTGCCTCCACGCACTATACATCCATCTGATTCTGAAAACTCATGGAAACTAGCAAACTATTGAGTATCACGTGTTTATTACTCAGCCAATTATAGTTTTTCAGGCACAGCAGGCGATAAAGAGAGAGGAGATATTGTCTGACATATAGCCTGTAGGTTTGTTCGATGGCTAAACTGGATCATTTTTCGTCCCTGAACAGTCAAGGCCTATTCATTTTTCATTTACGGTACTCAAAACAATCAGGTTCGTGCCACCTTTTTCAAAAAATGTCAAAACCATAGATTCAAAGTTGACCTTTTGGCGGGGGAATTCCTGGGAATTCGCTGGAACTTTGTTTTTGGATTTTTCTACAGTTCATTTTCCCCACAAAAACGACATTTTGAAAGCAGGTTTTCAAGAAAGGTAGCACGAACCTGATTGTTTTGAGTACCGTAAATATCCATGTCACTTTGATCACAAGCTAGGTTTTCTGATCTCCAAAAGGCACAAAAGGCAAACAAGATCTCCCAATCATAGCTTGTACCTTTTTTTAATTTTGATCAAACTGGTGATCTAAATTGTAGTCAAATGATACGATGGTTGGGTTTTTTTATTTCGGTGAGATTCGGTGAGGGTGATTGAATTTCTAAGAGGCGATCGAGATTTGTATGTATTGATTTGCGGAAGGGAATTTGAGCTTTAAAAGAAGGTAGAATTGAAAAAATGACCAAGTATGAAGCGACGATGAGGATGAGTTGTAAGTACTTATGTATGGTCGAAATCGATGAAGGATCAGTTGTATTGAGTTCAGGTCAGATTGAAAGTTTCAAGTTGAACTGATTTGATCAAGTTTAGGTACTAAATTTTAAGATGAGCCATCTATGTATGTATGCACATACTAAGTACATAGAGACTTTGACTGAATTTGTTCCTGGTTTTCTGGATTTTAGTTTTACTTTCACTAGTCAAGTGTTAGTCAGACTGACAGACTCTCTTCACTCTAACTATAAAAACTCAAACTCAATTCACCTGAACAGCAAAAACGAAGAAATCACTCATCCTCATCTCAATCACAAACTAACCTCAACCACTAAAACGGAAAACGAAAAACGAAAACCGAAAAGAAATCGAATTGAAGCTATATAGATATCGAATCGAATTGAAAGTTTATAAGACATGATTATCGATTCATCATCATCTTCCAATTCATCATCATCAGAAGTCGAATCAGATCAATTCTTTCAAACTTATTTACCTCATCCTATCAGTGATCATTCAAGTCGTCATTCTTTATTCAAACCAATGCATTCCAATCAATCTCTCGATACTCTTTCAAACCATCAACTCTCTTCTCCTTCTCCTTCTCCCATCTCTTCTTTCGATCCGATCTTAATCTCTGATTCTTCAAACGAAACTTCAAACTCTTCTTCTTCTTCTTCTGAATATTCCACTTCTACTCCTTCTTCTCTTATTCTATCTTCTGCTTCTTCTTCTAATTCTCCTATCATCACTACTCTTCCAATCGAACCTGCTCCTGCTCCTCCTCCTACTACTACTACCACCATTACTACTACTACTACTTTTCATCATCAATTCATCCTACCGGGTCCAGCTTTGGTTTCTTCAAAATGCTTTAATTCTTCTTTAGCTGAAATCACTTATTATCCCCCTCCTAACTTTGGTCTCGTCGCTCCTGGAATCTATAGATCAAGTTTTCCTAATCATCTTCATTTTGAATTCCTCAAAACTTTGGGCCTCAAGAGTGTATTGTAAATCATCTTTCTCTTTTCTTGAACTCTTCCCTTTTTTTTTTTTCATCACACTAATCTTGTTTTGAATTTCTTTTCAGAACACTTGTTCAAGAAAAATATTCACCTGAATGTCTCAAGTTTTATAATCAAGAAGGTATCAAATTTATGCAATTCAGTATACCGGGCAATAAGGTTAGTTTTCTTTTAGCATTTTGATGATTTCATTTCACACGAGTTTTCTAAAAACTTTTTTTTCTCTTTTTTTTAAAAAATTTCAGGAACCATTTGTTCACAGTAGGTCCATTTTGCCCGTTCCGCGAAGAATCTGTGGAAGTGCAAATTTTTGAAACATGTATATATATGATATCCTATATATATATCTTTATATCACATATGAACGTTGAGGACAAAGTGAACTAATTCAAAACAGAATCTTAAACTAATTCAACTTCTTCAAAACCAAACCTACCTTTACATCAGTTCCAGAAGAAAAGGTTCGATTAGCATTAATACACGTTTTGGATGTTAGGAATCATCCGATGTTGATTCATTGTAATAAAGGAAAAGTAAGTGTTCATCTTTCCTCTTGAAAGCTTTTTAAAAGGTTCTAATGATCATCTTGAATGATGTGTGTGTGTTTTTTTGGGGGGCGTAGCATCGTACAGGTTGTTTGGTTGGATGTTTAAGAAAATTGCAACATTGGTCTTCTACTTCAATCTTTGATGAATATAGACGTTATGCCTTTCCTAAATCAAGAAATATGGACCAACAGTTTATTGAATTATTCGATTTAGCACCTGTTAGTTTTCAATCAACTTTCTTTTCTCCTTTTTTGTTTCTTATCAGTCTTGATTTTGAACTTGATTTTGGTTTGGTTCTTGGTATGATTTTTTTTTAGGTTTGGGATGAAATCGATCCTGAGTTTTCACCTGAATGGTTAGACCTATCAGCTTAAAGACATCAGCTTTTTCTTTTCTTCATTTATAAACTCATCCTACACTCATTTAATGTTTTTTTTTCTTTTTCTTTTTTTATCAATTGATTTTTTTTGATTTCTTGACTGCATGAATTTCTTTTTTCACATTTTCGATTTGTTGTTGTTTTCTTTGATTGAACTTTTTCCTTCTTTTCTTTTAACCAATTCGTCTTTATTTTTATATGCCAAGGTTTTGATCTCTGAAGTGATTTACTTTTTACTTATCTTTTTCTTATTATCAAACTAGTGTTTCTCTTTTCACTTTGATTCCATTTAGTTTCTATTTTTGTATCATGTCTTTCTCTTTTTATGACCACTTGATATATCATTCTCATTCTCATCATCTTTTTCTTTTCTCCACAAAAAAAACAGTTTGGTTTGGTTCGTTTTGTTGATTTTTTTTCTGCTTCTTTTTCTTTTGAATTCAGAATAATGAAAAAAAAGACAATTTGATTTGAAAAACTGAACTTTTAAATTCTTGAAAAGATTTTCAATTTTTCTTTTTACCTTTTAAGGACTTTTTTTTTGTTTTTTTGTTTTTTTATTTCCCATTTCAATCTTTATGATTCAGTGTTACATAGACCAAAACTTGATAAATTATTCTGTCTGTTTGTTTTTTTCTTTTTTCTTTTTGCATGATGACCATAAATTTTATTTGACATGATTGTTTATTCTTATCTTATTCAAATCAAGCTTTGTGTTTTGATTGATTGATTGATTATGTTTGTTAACATTAATAATAATATGTTTCTCTCGAATGTTAAATTTGTTTTTTTTTGAAAAGTAAAAGAAGTTGAATTTTACTAGACTCTTGTTATTAAGGCTTTTGAAAGTATGTTTGAATTTGTTTTGGTCTGTATGGTGTCTACTGTTTTTTTCTTTCTTTTGAAAGTTGTGCATATGTGCAAAGAGGTTCTGGAATTCTTTCAATGAAGATGTTTATATTGAATGAGTAACTAACCACAAGAGCTTGTGATCATCTTACTTGTGAAACTCTTGTTTCATAATTGGTGGGTGAGTTAATGGGATGGTCTGGATTACGGGGTCAGACTCAGAGAGGGTCAAGAGTCTAGTGTGATGTCTGGTAAGGCTTTTGTTGGTCCAAAGGAACCTATGTTTGAGTATACCTCATCTTTTTGGATTCTAGGTAGCATCTCTACAACTGGTAGTCGTGATACAGCTTGCAAACTGTTTGTCTAGCCCACCATCTGGATCAAAGGACCACAGCTGGGTTAGCCAAGAGGAAAGTGACTTGCAGCAGGGGGTCATCAATGCAACACCAGGGCAAAGCTTGTTGAGTTTTGCCATACCAAAAAGATTTGAGTGAGTCTTTTGACTTCCAAATTTGGGGCACCTAGAATTTAGAAAGGTGTCCTACATCCCTTTTGATTGAGTGGCTTTGTTAAGTCTTGAGAAATACAAGTACAGCCACCTTTTCCAGATGACAATTTGGACAAAGCTTTTTTTGCCCATATCAATGGCCCCAATGGCTCAAGTGATTAGTTTCACCATCAAAATCAAAACCCTTGCACCATCAACCTTTGTATCCACGTGGGATCTTCTTGTCTGGATCCTGTTGTGAATGAAGCAGAATATATATGAGATGATCATAAATTGCCTTCACAGCAGCTACAACATGAGCCATCTGTAAAGTGAGGATCAATCAACGGACGTTTGCAAAACAACATGTGCGAGAAAGCCTATGTAAGCTTGAATATGTAACAAATCCCTTGACCCACAGGCGTCCTCTCATCTCATTTTTTGCTGCTTTCTTTGACATTTTTTGAGAACCCTACCTGAGACCAAAAATTGGTTTGCTTGCAAGCTCACTCAAAAAAGCTAGCTAAACATACCCTTATCCTCTTTAAAAGTTTTCGTGACAGTTCTTTTTGTCAACTTCAGGTGTCATTTGCTTCGATGATTGATGATCACGATCTGAAGCTCGCCACAGGGAATATTATTCAGCTCTAATTTTCCTTTATCGTTTCATCTTCACGATTATTTTTGATCTATATACAACATGAAAGACAAATGTGAATTACTCAATTGTTTCGATCTGCCTTTCCTTCCACTTCTCTTCATCTGCCCACCAAGGTAAACCACTAGAAAAGTCCCAAGCATCTGTATGATATCTAAAGATATTTTTTCACACAAAATAAAACATCAATCAATTATTTTGTCTTAATCTCTGATAAGTTCAATTATTTTGAGCTTATACAAATCAACTTTTGAAAAAACTAGATATAGCAACAAGAGACTGACCTAAATGCATGTAAATAGATGAAAAGTTGTTCAGGTTTTGGATCCGGTAAGAGAGGTATACCACAATCTGAACAAAACTCATGATGATCAGGTTGACTGCTTTCAATTCCATCTTCTTGTTTTGCATCATCATTCTTTTTATCAACCTGTGAGTTCAATAATTCTGTCGGTGTTTTAAAAGCTCGATCAATACAAATCGTATCCTTCTCACGTCCAAATCCATCTTCGATGTCTCTAGCCTTCCTCAATTCATTCACTACCGCTCGAGCTGTTTCATTAAAGGCAATCCCACTGCAATTGCCTGAATCCGGATCTTCTGGATTCAATCGAGCACGTTTTCCTGAGTCGTTTTGAGAAATTCCTTGTCGTTGACCCCTACCCAGCTTGATAGCTGATCCCGAACGTTTAGGACGCGAATTTTCTTCTGATGCTTCAAGATTAGCTTCAATGGGAACTTCATGCGCGACCGATTCTATTGCTTCCTCTTTCTCGCTTGATTTTGGCCTTTGATCTGTAGGTGAACTAAATATTCCACCCTTGCCACCTTCAGGGCCCCAAGCTACATTACTACAATATATCACATCATTTAAGATTGGGTGTCCTAGAAACTGGAGATGAACACGGATTTGATGAGACCGCCCAGTGATAGGACGACCTAGTAAAGGTAACTGTCAGAGGCCAAGAATCGGGTCCAATTCGGATATCACTGGAAGTAAGGAGAAACGAGGGCTCGTACAATGAACTACACTGGAGTCTGTCTGTCTGTCGTATGACATCTTCTTGAAGAACGTTTTAGCATGCTAGATGTGAATAGGAATGATTGATCTCATTCAATACTAATCTACCGTGGATCCAAAAGAGAGACTCGGACAAACCTTTCCTTCAGGATGGACGACATTAAGTCCCACCTGTCGGTCGATGGTTAAAAGGGGTTCCTCACACACAATCTCCTCGCTGACCAGGAAGGCGCGGAAAACAGAGTCAAGGAGGATGCGAGGATACCATGGTTATTTTCGATGGAGTGGTTGCACTTACTCTGGGAAATTACCTCGGCACCTGGCAATATATTCTTTCTTCACGGCACCTTCTTGGCCAAAGTAAGCTGACAAGCCACGGGATGCTTCAATTGTCAACGCGCAAATCATCACGCCTGAAGTTAGACGATCCAAACGATTGCTAGCTACGCAATACAAACAGGCAATCAGCATTTTGTGGTTGAGTATCATGGTCGAACATCCATGCGAGAAACTCACTGTGAACCAATGGAAGATCGTAATCGAATTTGAGGATTGATAACAAGGTGTTATAGTTATATCGACCCGTTGGATGAATCTGTAAATTTCTCAATAGCACAAAAATGCAGATTTGTGAAGCTTGATGTTGTGTCGAGATCATAATGAGATGAACACTCACTGGCATACTTCCAGGTTTTTCGACCACAAGTAAACCTTTGACATCATCGCGATGGAGGATTCTGACAGGATCTCCGATCACTGGTGGCTCATGTCGATGTAATGTATTAGTGATCAGATCACCATTTCGGATGATAAGATCTTGTGTGATAGTTTTTCCGTTGATCTTGATAACACCTTTGAAGACCATTAGAGATAGTGAATGCGTCTTGGCTAGTTAGCGCTGGCCAAAGAAAATATCCTCAAGGGTAAAAATTGACACACCGGAAGCTACGGCTTGAGCCTAATCAAATCGTGTGCGGTTCGAATCAGTAAAATGAAAGTCTCGCAACCGTGAGGACTTCTCTTGACTGACATAGTATTCAGGGCTACGGTCTCTAGAAGGCGGGTGTGAGTGATACACGTATTCTGCGTTAAAATTGGATGTCAAGCTCGTAGTAGAATCAAGTTCTCTTTAGTCACTAACCTGAAGTCAGAGCTATATAGAAAATTAACATCTTGTCAGTATATTTGCACGCATTCTGAATGATCATTGGGCAATCGAACCTAGACGCGCACCTGAACACGTCAATTACACTTCGCCCCCTCCATCTTTCCTGTTGGTCCGGTTAAAAACATAAGCCAGGACATGGAAAGCCTTATGATCTTAAGTACATTGGATTTACCTTGGCATAAGTTGAGTACTTGAATAGGTAAGGCTTCACTTTTCGTAAACCTTTTTCAAAATACCACTCCGGTTTAACCTCACTTCGAGCGAGGGAATTACCACAGTGACAGAAAGATAGTCTTCCTCAGTTTCAGCGTGCTCCGGTAGCTGGTGGGTGGGCTTACTACTTAGCCGCAGAAGTGTGTATATGAGCTGGGGAAGCTGTAGCCATGGAGGGGAGTCCTGATCGATGTACCAATAGAATTGAGCGAGATTGAAGTAGTTGATCGAATAGATTGACTTTGATTTCGTTTCGCAAATTGCGGTTAATCAAAAAATGGTTTGGACGCATACATTGAGGTGGCCAACAAGTTTATGAAGGCCGGTGATTTACAAGACTTTCGGAGTTGCGTTATAAACATATCCGGTGTACTGTATAAGCATATCTGGTTACACAACCTTCAAAATTTGAGTTGCAGAAAAAGAAAGTAAAATTTGACCTCTTGGAAGTTCCAAACCGTTCGTCGACTTGTTTCTTGACACATCGCGATTCATCATTTGGAACAAAATGGCACCCATCGACCTCTTCGATACTGTTGCCGAATCTAGTGAGCGAGTCATCAAAGGTAAAGGCAAAGGCAGAGCCGAGCAACAAACCGAAAATGGATTCAACTTCAACGAACAATATGCCCAAAAGTATGAAACACGCAAACGAGGCGAAGAACTAACAAAGTGTGCGCCAATCTGGCAAAACTGAAGTGCAAAACCAAAGATCTTGCCCGATTTTCATCTCAATTGATCATTTTGCTTTATTGCTTCACAGTGAAAGATAAATACGGACCAGATTACGAGGAATCAGAAGATGAAGATTTATCTTCTGAGGATTCAGATGCCGAATTCATCACTCCTGAAGTGGATGCTGCAATTCTCAAAACGCTTGCAAGGATCAAAAGATCTGATCCGACACTTTACGAAGGAGGTCAACCAGTCTTTCAAGGTTAATACTCTTTCTCTTTGTTTACTTCCAAAAAATGGGTCCAGAGCCTTTTCAGGAATGGGAAGTCTAATCTGAAATTTGTAAATTGTATGCTGTTTGACCAGAGGAAGAATCTCAGCATTCTGCTGCACGAGCTAACCGAACCAAAACGAAAAATGACAACGAATCCGCTCATCGTCAGAAACCCCTACTCCTACGTGACTATCAAAGGCAGGCTTTACTCTCCGGAAAGGATGTCAAATTGAATGATGGATCTGAAGAGAAGAAACAATTCGATCCAACACCGGCTGAAGAGGCTGAAATACTTCGAGAAGAGACTAAGCGGATATTCTACAATGCTACCAAAGAAGGCGAAGCAAGTGAAGGCGGAAGTTCAGATGAAGTTGAAGATTTGCTGATTCCGAGAGAGAAAACATTAGATGAAGCTGAAAAGGACGAGGAAGATTATCAAAATTTTCTTTTGGAGCGAGTGGGACGTGAAGATATTCGTGTGGCTTTCGAATCACTAGCCGAACCATCCAATGTGGTCAAGACAAATGAAGATAATCTAGGGGAGGATGATGAAACTTTTTTGAAGAATTACGTCTTGGGTCGAGGATGGATTGATAAGGAGGCCAAAAAGATACCAAAATATGCCGAGATAGTGAAATCAGAAGGACGACGCCATCAATCAGATTCCACTAATCCATCACATGCGGCTAAATCACAAGCCCCGGGACGGACATTGATTGATGAAACTCAGGATGACGATGAGGATGAAGAGTTTGTAGAGAAAGCGGAAGAGTTCGAAGCCAAATATAACTTTAGGTTTGAAGAGTGTGTTATCTTTCCTTGCGCTAACTATGAAATTTGAGGCCTGATGTTTTTCTCTCATTTCATTGTCCCGCAGTTCAGCACAGACTATCGTAACCCATGCTCGAGAGATGGATCATTCCGTTCGTCGGACAGACGATGCCCGAAAGACTGCAAGAGCAGCGGCAAAAGCCAGGAAGAGAGAAGAAAAGCAGCAGAAAATGGACGAACTGAATCGACTCAAAGAACTGAAGCGAACTGCTTTAATGGCTAAACTTGATGTTATCAAGAAAAACGCTGGAGCAGAAGGTAAGCCAGCTAACGTTAATCCTACCACTCCCAACCCTAGTGATACTAATTCATTGTCACTTCAATCTAGAATTTAATATGGACGATTTCGACTTGGAAAGTGACTTTGATCCTGACAGCCACGATCGGCGAATGGGCAATGCGTTCAACAATCAATTTTACGGTCAAGAGGTACATCTATCTTTGAATTTCAGATCCATTTTGATCAGCCGCTCATCCGAAATGTCTTCCAGGACCCCGATGGGAAGCCTGTCTGGGATGATGACATTGATATCGACGACATAATCCCACCCCAAGAGTACGAAGCCGATGATACTCAAATAGACTTTGAGCCAGGAGGAGATGCATATGACCCGTTGGCGCCAGCTCCCAAAGGTTCTAAACGGCAAAAGAAGCGCGAGAAAAAACAATCCAAGAAGCAAAAGTTCATCGGTGAGACTCTGGGAGAAGAAGTAGAAGCAGAAGAGCCTAATGGAGAACTTGAGCGGGAACTCATTGACCTCGAAGCTTTACCATCGGACAAACGAAAGAAACGAATACTCGATGCCTTGGATGAATACCATAAGCTGGATTATGAAGATCTCGTGAGTCTCAACGATGGAATTGGATATGACACAATCGACGAAGATATGCGACATTAACAATCACTTATGTGGTGTGAATAGATTGGCGATCTTCGTACTCGGTTCAAGTACACCGAAGTTGAACCTGACCCACTCAATATTACCCCGGCCGAGATTCTGATGGCAACAGACGCCGAACTGAATGACATCATCGGTTTGGGTAAGCTAGCTCCCTATCGTACAGAGCCTGATAAGAAAAGCGCGACGAGGAAAAAGAAGTTGAAGGAGCTTCGTGGAAGGCTGAAGGACAGAAGTTGGGGCGAAGCCAACCAAACTGGTCCTGCAGATTCCTCTGCGCTTAACAAATATGGCAAGCGAGGGGCAGCTCAGCATGCTGATGGAGCTCAAGGGCCCCCCAAGAAGCGTATGGGTAGAAAGGAGCGACAGAGGCAAAAAGATCAGAGTGAAGTTCATATGCAGATTGAGACAGTTGCAACATGATAATGCTATGACAATCCCAAAGTTTTAATGACAAATGTTAGTGTCGCGTCAGCCTTCTGGTTGTAGCCAGTATTTCATTGCCTCATCTTCAGAAGCAGAGGTAGACATCCCATTGTGGATCGGACGAACGCATTGTACGTTAGTGTTGAAATATCATCCCCCTACGTATTGCAAACAGTTCTGCTTCCTCTAGAGCCTGTCAGCTCAGTAATGCATCATTGCCAAACAGGGTTGCACCGTTTGTAATTTGTTTGGCGCATTGAACATGTAACGCACATCATTTTCACAAGATGTTTCAGGTACTGTGGATAGCAAGACTCTCTTGATTGGTCCTTTAGTAAACAGGATTTCCCAAGCTGCTAAAAACACTCAAATGACAAAGTGAGATATATTTGAGGTTCTCTTGTTGAAGGCTATTCAAGATTATCCTCAGCGGACCACATTTCAAAGTTCTTGTTTCTTTCCTTTGATAAGACTGATGAATTTTTTTTGTTGTTGTAATCACCAACAATAATTTGATATACATTTTCATGGTAGAGTCCACAGGAAGGAAACTAGACCATAAATCTGATAGGCTCATCCTGTTTCTCCAGATATGGTCATGGTTGCATCATTTTGAACAAGATGGAATGAGGCACGGAGATGATACGACAAGGGACTACACCACAAAGACACTTTTGCGCAGAACGATGTCCGAGCCGTCCGAGACCCGATGCTCAACTCCGCGTCCCCAATCAGGGTGTCTTTTGGGCGTCCTTGAGTGCCGACGTCTTTTGCGCACTCTCAGGATAGTGTGAAGGTTCTCTGATCTTGGACGCTGGATCAGCCCCCATGCTCTCAGCCTGACCTGAAGATTCCTATTGAGGCTGTCATCAGAGTGAAGCCTGGATGTCCTCACATGACCTGAGATTATGATACCTGGCAGGTTCCCTCAGGTGAGCATCAAGTTGTCCGTGAACAACACATCGCCAACTGATCCCCTTCTCAGCCTTGATGTTCATAAGGTCTGTGCGCTGACCACTCAATGAAGGAAGCTTCTAGAAAGAAAGAAAAAAGGAAGAAATCGGAGGGAGTTTGAAAATTCACAAGTCCACTTTGCGTTCACCATCTCCCAAAGTTCCAACCACCCTTTGATCAAAACTCATCATCACCACTCTTCATTTTCTGTACCTCAGCACCAGTACCTCCAGTACCCATCGCTTGCTTGTTTTTTCCCTCTCCTCTCCTCATCTTACTCTACTGCTCATACCCATCTTCTATGTTACTCTTCCTCTTCTTTAGAAAACTACACGTAAATCTACCGGTGGTAAAACGTCTTTGTGAGATCGCTCAAGACTTTAAGACCAATCTTTGATTCCAATCTCCTGCTGTTGGTGCTCTTCAAGAGTCGGCCGAAGCTTATCTTGTCTCGTTCGTTTGCTTTTCTCTATCATCGGTCCATTGTTTATGCTGATATGCTGATATCGTTACGATTTTCCAACTCTAGGCTTTTTGAGGAGACCAAGTTGGCCGCAATTCACGCCAAACGTGTAACCATTCAACCCAAAGACATTCAACTCACTCATCACCTCCGAGGTGAAAGATCTTGAGGATGAATAGATGACACAGGTTACCTTCATCAGTGACTCTCAACCTTCCATCATTGGTTTTCTATTTGATGATTCAACTATGTAGTGTCTAGTCACACTTCATCTTGTCTTGGCCGAGAACACTGCTTTGCCTTCATGATATCATTGTCACTATTTTTACACCTCTCAAATCCAATACCAACACACCATCGTTGTATCCTTTAAAGCATTGAAATGCAGTAAAAAAATTTCTAACAAATTTGTTGAAGCTGTCTCCTTGGTTTGATTGAAAGTGTTCCCAAAGCCTGAGACGGTACTCTTCAGTCCATTTCAGGCTGAAGCGGGTAAGTTGCTAAGAGCATCCACAGTGGTGGGCTCCAAATCGGGGCTATCGCCAAATTTGGTGACTGAGCCCCGATTTTTTGGTGCAATGGCAGTCCCCATCGCCAAATTTTTTTGTAGCCGGCTTCAAATTTCGAGCTTTGGGCTACATATTTGGCAACAAAAAGCCGGGCTCCAAATTCCCGCACTTGTTCAATCCCATACCTCACACATGTAAGCCCACGCGTACCAATCTCAAAGTGTGTGTAAACACATAGAATCTACACTTTTGAAGTCCGAACGACTGCATCCGGATTGATTTGGGGCCCCACCAAATTTGAATTCGCTCGATTTGGAGCCCCAATTTGGAGCCCACCACTGTGGATGCTCTAAGACGGTGTGGAGTCACAGTTTCGGGGCTGGTGAAAGGTCACCAACACGAGCGTGTGACAGAGGAGTGTGGTGCCTAGGCGAAAATTCTTTTCCCCTGTATGGGCAACCTTGCACTCTCTCACCCCACAACTCTCCGTCACTGCAAACTTAACTTTCTCTATTCTTAAGACTCGTGAAGGGCTTCTAAGCTCTTAAATTTTTTTTGATTGAACTCTCATACTGGATGGGATTTAGAGTCGAGAAAGGCAATAAATCATTTCTCTCAGAAAACAAGGACAGAAGAACAAAATTGGCGAAAAGCCAATATTTAGAAAGACAAGAAATAGCAAGAAAGAAAGTTTTAGAACAAGCGGCAGAGAGGAACAAGAGGGCAGCATCAAGAATAGCCAGCACATCGGAAACACCGGCGGCACCAGTCCTAGACAGATCGTTGATGAGCAAAATTGACGGCATAGATATCTCAAGTCAACATTCAGATCAATCGTACACCTCTAATTCAAAGAGCACAAGCCCGCCTAATATGAAAGAACATACGTTAGCAGGTATTAGGTTCAAGAAAATGACGTCTGCAAACATAAACTCGGGTGAACCATCGGCCGATCCTCAAACTTCAAATGATCCAAAGAACAAAGAAGTTCAGGGAAACGTGGAGGACAGGAGACCAAGGAGTGATCTCATAGAAAGAGATAACTGTAAGGAAAATTTTCACATACCCTTTCCCAAGAAATTTCCTTCTCTATATGAACCACATAGTTCCAAAATTCCTCCGATAGGAGTAGAAATAGTGGCATAGGCACTATCCTCAAAGGGTGATATATCGCCAAGCCCTGGTCAACACATAGTTGTGATCCATGGGCGTCGAGAGACCCTCAGCGGTTCTGGAAAAATAGAGCTCCAAATGTTAGCATTTGTATCAGAGCGCAGATCCGGGGAATCCTCGTAGATCTCGGCGAAGATCCAAAACAGGGTAGCCATACCAAGCCTCGGCTAGGAGAAAGAAGGGAAAAAAAATATATATATATATATATATAAAAATAAACGGGGGAGGAGAATGATAGAAGTCTGAATTCAGAAACTGACATACCTCTCTCTGAACCCTGATGGGGAAATGCACGTTCACAGTTACGGGCGGAGATGGAGCCACATCGCGACCGGCAGTGATAACGCCGATAGCGAATCCAAACACTAGCGCAGAACAGCCGCCACAAGGGACAACAATTAACCCGCAATCGCATACGGGAGTTGCGATCCCAGCTACAAATCCATCAAACCAAGCGGCTCCAGCACCGCCAGTGGCAACCCCCGGGGCGATACCTAACGTATCGACTTCATCGTCAACAGACCCTCCAAAGAAACTCTCGAAGAAGGAGAAGAAGGCAGAGAGGAAGGCGGAAAAGCTGGAGGAAGAGAAAAGAAAGCTACGTGAGAAAATAACTCTGAAAGAAGGGAAAGGGAAGAGGAAAGTAGTGAAAAAATTGAAAGGTGAGAGGAAGGTTTTCCACACCTGAGTCATAACTCCTACAGCCATGATGAATCTGATAATGGAACCCCTACCTTAGCGAAGTATATAAAGAAATTCAAACTCGATGAGTGGAAGGAGGACACAGCTAACGAAAGTGTGGCAAAAGAAGACGGGAAACCCGCGAAGGGGAAAAAGAAAGAATCGTCAAAAGAAAAAGCCAAGAGGAAGAGAAAAGAGAAAAAGTCGAAACGGAAAGGAAAGAAGAAGAAAAAATCTGAGAGCTCAGATTCCTCATCCTCGAGCTCAAGCTCGGATTCAGATTCAGAGTCAGATTCAGACTCAGAATCATCATCTTCATCTTCCTCCGACTTGTCATCTTCTTCAGACGACTCAGAATCCTCGTCAGACTCTTCCTCGGACTCTTCCGAATCGTCGTCGTCTTCAGACTCCTCTAGTTCATCCTCAAGCGATGATGACCGGTACAATAGAGCAAATCACCTACCCGACCTTCCAAAGAAGTGGGCAAAAAGCTTCCGACAAATGAATTCATATATCCCATTGTCAGTCTTCAGGAGATCGTACATAGAAAGCTTCAGATCAGCAGGGTCAAAGAAGAAGAAGCATTCCCACGGGAATCACAAACTCACCGAATTAGATCGCGAACGCCAATTCACGCACGGAGATTTTGTCCAGGTATGCAAGAGAGATCTATGGCCTAAAGAAATACGCCACCTATATAAAGAAGCACCTATATAAAGAAGCACATGAAAGAACGAAACAAGTGCTGGTTAGTAGCCCTTCGCTATCACCTCGCCATTAGAATGGAAATTTTTAGAGGCAGAACAAATAGTAAAGGCAAGAAAGAAAAGAAGAAGAAAATGTCATTACCAAAAGGTAGAAAGAAAAGGGTAGAAGAAGAAGCGAGATGGGACACCGAGGCAGCTGGTGAATTGAAATTCTACGAAACCAATCCATACGCCCCAGGCCACATGAAGTATGGTGTCGATTTCTTTACGGGAAGAAATGAAGATGAGTCGGATCTGTCACAACATGACAAAGATCGTTCGGCGTTGATTCCTAAAAAGCCGTTACACCAAAAGAGTAACGCGAAGAAACACTACAACAACAGGTCTCGAGGAAGACCAAGACCGGGAGGAAACAGCTACCCGCACAAGACAACGGTAAGTAAATGCCGGTGGTTTTCCTAACCGCAGAAAGACCCTTTAATCATTAAAAAGAGGGGAAAATGGTTACTTACGTCCATGTTTACCACGCAGTACTTCGGAAATCAAAATGATCGGGTTGGTCAACCACAATCACTTCCGATAGCGAGTACCAGCCAGTCGGTGGATCAAAATCCCCAAAATGGAAACACGACGCAAGGGGAAAACCCGAAGTCGCAAGGAGGTAACGGCAGAGTCAACTACCACGCACAAAAGTGAGTAGAAGCCATAAGTCATATGCCAGGAAGAGATAGCTTTACTGACAGAGTTTCTTCAAAAATTTCTGATGCGGGTCCGAACACAAATTGGGACAACGTAAATTTCCAATTCCAAATTTTTCCTTGCCTATCACTCTACTTGTTGTCTCGTGTACTATGATTGTGGGGATTCCTTGGTTTTTGATATCCTTGTTTGTAACTGGTACGCGATTAGAAAATAAATGCATCCTTGGAATTTAAAATATGATTCTCTAAAACAATGGTTGAAATTCTGAAAACAATAGACCCAGCCGAGATATAATTCCCGAGAGAGATCCAGAAGTGGTGACTACTGAGGTGGAAAGCAGAGAGGACGATGAGGAGTCAATTGAATCGACCCATTCCTCCCAAGACACGGAAACTGAGAAAGTAAAAGTCCCTTTACCGTTAAACCAAAGGAAATCGTTCACAGTAGCAGTAGACTCAGTATGGCCGGCCGCTGTTAATTCACATATGGACATCAGGACATGGACTACATTGATGGAGAGAGTGGGTCTTCAAGACGACATACCATATATTGAGCAGGGTTTCAGAGAAGGCTTCTGTTTAGGTATACCTCAACATGAAATCCAAGGAATGAAGTGGTTCACGCCCCCGAATCACGCATCAGCAATACTAGCCAGGAGAGAAATTGAGGCTACAATGACGAAGGAGGCACGAGAGGGTAGATTATCCGGGCCATACACGAAGGAAGAAGTGCACGATGTGGTGATCTATTTATGATATTAAGCAAAAAAAAATTAATCATCTTTACTTTACCAGTTTATTAGCAAACTTCAATATAGCAGAGAATTCGAAATTCAGGTTTTCAGATCAATTGAAGCTCTTAGAGGCTTATGTATACTTATTAGCTCATTATTATGTCATCTTATTTCAAAATTATTATTAAGATCAACATAGTTTACTTACAAAGTTATTACAAAAAGACAGAAAAAGAAAAGATAAGAAAAATTCGAAAATATAGGTGTAAAAGTTGGAAAATGGTTTTTAGCTTATTTATAATTAAGTTATGGGTTTTATAAGGTTAGAATATGAAAGAACAACAGTTTACTATACAGGAACAATTTTAATATTTAAGGTTGATAAGGGAAAACAGATGTTATTAGCAGAAAGGTACTTTTTCGAAGTTGGTAAACAAGGGTTAGGCATGTAGTTTACATATGTAATGGTGGTAGTAGTAGAAATTAAGGTTGCCAAGAGGATTTTCTGGGATTTTTAAGGTTATAGAAGATGATGTCATGTTACATGAGCAAGAGAAAGAGAGTAGCAGCTGTGAAAAGTGAAGAAAATAGGTGAAAATCGTCGAAAATGGAGGTTTCAGCTAATTACATATGTCAAATGACGTCAGAATAAGTTGGTAGATAGCTCATTCAACGCAGAAGAGTGGGTTACATAATGTACAACCTTTAAATCATTAGTAACGGAGGTGTATGTAAAAAGTTATAAGGGAAATAAGAAATTGGTGTGAATCTCGAATTTACAGTCACAAGTCACATGTAACACCAAAAACCTTATCTTCACAACTCAATATCTTACTCGTCACTCATCAGAAGTAGGTCTTATAGGTGTCAGAAATGATCAGTAACACGTGGGCTACAAGATGTACTTTAGTAATCAAAAATTGGAGCACATCTGAAAAAATTCGTAATCTCAAAAATTGGGTTTCAGCTAGTTTACAAGGAAAAAAACCACCTGTATTCATCTTAAGAAGTGCTGTACATTACATCATTGCGCCATTGATCAATTTTGGCTGTGAAAATTACATCATACATTAGTAACAAGATCATTACATTGCGTCATTACATGGTTTTTAGGGTTATTTAGGCGGATTTGATTGGTTTTTGAAGCTGTTGACTGTTGTAAAGATTGTTACATGTGGATATAAGTACTCCTTGATGATTTTAGGATTATAGCGCCCTTTTCGGTATCTTATACCTTTGTTGTAGTGTTATTAATCATCATTTATTTACTATATTTGTACTAAGATCACTTAAATCCGCCCCTTCAAAGCAAGGAGAAATTTATTTACGTGTGTTAAAGACTACAAGTCTAATTGGGAATAATACTTACAACAGTATTGCTAGTAATAAACATAGTGTGTGACTTTTTGCGCTTAAAATCTGGGAATAATACTTAACAACAGTATTGCTTTATTTCTCTGGCGCCTTATCTATTTCTCTGTTATCACAAAGTGGTCAGCAAGTGCCCTTGTGCTGGTTTCTTTGAAGAAGGCAGTCTTTAGGCAACTTCTACTATATTACACATAGTAGATTATCCCTTCTTAGGTGTTGCAAAGCTCTCGTTGAGCTTAAAATACTACAACGATCGCTATGGGTTTTTCTGGTCAAACCCGATGGGAAGCGCAGTGAACGGTGATGGGTCCATTAGGCTCATCAACGATCTGTCACACCCTAAACATGACAAGGACATTCCATCGGTCAATTCTTTCGTGAACAAGAAAAATTACGAAACTTACTGGGACGGGTTTAGCACAGTAGCAAAATTCCTATGTGATAACCCGGGAGAGTGGGAACTAGCTATTTTTGACTGGGCGAAAGCGTATAGACAACTCCCAGTACACCCTTGTCAACGAAGGTTCCTATGCATAATAGATTTCTATGGCAGAGTATGGATAGATCTGGCAGTGGGATTTGGAGGCGTGGCAAGTTGTGGCGTCTTCGGAGGACCGGCAGAAGTCTGGAAGTCAATAATAAAGACGATTCTTGAACTATGCGCAATCTTTTGCTGGGTCGATGACAACCTCATATTGAGGAGACCGGGAGACAAAACATCATTAGCAGACATCATGAACCTAAGCGACACGTTAGGAGTGAAGACTAACATGGCCAAAAACCACAATTTCGCTGAAGAACAACGTTATACGGGTTTCATCTGGAATGGGAAAAACCACACAGTAAGACTACCAGCGGAGAAGTTAGCGGAAATACTACAAATAGTAGAAGACTTACTTGTGGTGGACCAAACATGGAGCTTCGACACAATCGAAAGTCTGGTAGGAAAGCTGGGACACACGGTACACATAGTACCACACATGACAGCTTACCTACGCTCGTTCTACAGATGGTTAAAGAGCTGGAAGGAGAAACGAGCACTACGGAAAACACCGGAGGACGTAAGGAACGATCTGCTGGAATGGAAGATATGTCTATCCACTTTCGAATCACTCACCTTGATTCCAAACTCAAAACCACAGGAGGTAGAGTGGGTAGGCGACGCTTCCTCATCCTTTGGAATAGGAGTGTTAGTAGGTGCCAACTGGGCATGCTTCGAATTCGTAAAGGGTTGGCAAAGTTTAGATCTGGTTTCGGACAAGCGAACAATCGCTTGGGAAGAAACGGTTGCTGTCAGGCTCGGGCTACTGGTGTTAGCGAAAGTGATGATCGTAAGAGGGAAAGCCTTCTGGGTGGACACTGATAATACGACTACACAATCAACAATAAAAAAGAGAAAATCCAGAGATAAACAAACAAATGAAGAGTGGAAACAGATACAAAGGGTACTTACGGTTTTAGGCTGTAACATCAAAGAGAGACGTGTTACATTGAAAGAGAATAAAGCGGATAGCCTATCGAGGGGATATCTAGGAGACCTTTTCTGGTACAATGAAGTTTTAATTCCAGTCCCGACCGATCTGACTCACATACTTACCCAGAAATCACCGAAAGAAGGTCACCCACCGTCAAATGGGAAGAAAGAAAGGAAATCTTTCCTCAGAAACCGCCAAACAAACGAAGGAGCTGATCTGCCTAACGAAGTCGTTTAATTCCTTCAGGCAGGATGCTAGAGGGGTGGATAAGTCGGAAGAAGACGAGGTGCAACAACACTTCCTACGAGGTACATGGGCGGATGGTACTCTAAAACATTACAACTCAGCAATAGTGAAGCTCATAAGGTTCTCGATAGTTAAAGGAATAAGCAAAGAAGAACTCTTACCAATTGCTCCCGAAACCTTAAAATTATTTATTGTCTGGGCATCAAAGAAACAGGAGGAAAGAGCGATAGATGATGAGTCAGTCAGCTCCTCAACGATCAAGGCATACATAGCGGGTGTGAAAGCCTGGCATATGTTTCATAACCAAAGGTACCCAGAAGATGTAGACTCGGCGGTAGCTGGACTGTTGAAAGCATCAAGAAAAATAGAAGCGGAATTCGAAGAAAGAGACAAGAAACGCCCACCGGTACTGATTTCTGATCTGGTAATTCTTATGAACGAACTAAGAAATGAAGGAGAGAAGGGAGTAGGGGTCCTAGCACTAGCCCTAGCAGCCTTCTGGGGCACAGCTCGATTAGGGGAACTGATAACGGACGACCCGAACAAACGTTTACCTTCATGGGAAGACGTATCCTGGGGACCAAATAGCTCCTACATTAGAATTTCCATACTGGGCGCGAAGACTGCAAAGCCAGGCGAGAAACAATACATACACCTGAACAGACAAAAATCAAAACTCGATCCCGTGAGAGCGATGGAGGACTGGTTTAATTTGAAGGAGAGGAAGTTGTCAGATGAGATATTCATCCTTGGCTCAGGTTTAGAAAAGACTAGAATGAAGAAAATTGAAACCATAACTTACCTTAGAAACATATGGAATAGACATAGACCAAAGAAAGATCAATTGTTATTCGGTCACTCTTTCAGAATAGGTGGAGCTTCGCTCCGTTGGAACCTTGGCGCTTTGAGAGAAGAATTGAAATCGCAGGGTAGATGGACGTCGGAGGCTTATAAGATTTACCTGAGGAAATTCTCAACGAAAGATTACGCGAAAACCGTCAAACTATTAGAAGATCTACGGGTAGATTAGTGAATGGAAGCTTATTTATTTTAAAGTTTCATCATGCAGTTCAGAGAAGCGAGTAATACACAAGTACTTAAAATTCAACTGACTTTATGCAGCCACAAATGATTTGACACTGTACAGTCAAAGTTCAAAGTGAGCGAACAGATGATCGACTATACAAGCATTTGGAGGGGGATCAGAATTAGGGGGCAAGAAACTCTCGTCGTCAGAGTTTAGGGGCTTCTCGGAGCTCTCGTCTCAAGACGACGAGAGTTTCGGGTGCTGAGAAGCCCTAGTCTCCGGGAGTTCTGGTCTCGCCAATGAGGCGAAAATGCTGAGACTTCTAAGGAATCCTTAGCCTTTTCCCTCAAAGGCCTCCCCCACACCACTAATAGTATATATAAGTTTAACTGTAAGGTTAAACAAAATGTCTACTGTGGTAGACCAGTGCTCATACGTGAGACAAAGACTTGTTAGAACTGAGCAAAAGCTATATCTATGGTTTATGAACCCTAGCTCAAATACCATAGTTCCCTTTGTACAGGAGTCCTTAAGTTTTCCCCGCGCAAGACTGAAATGGATAGCAAGTATGTGAGACAAGGGAGAAGCCCATGTCTAGGACAGCCTAGCCCCAATATCTCCAGTCTACAATCTGGTGCTACAATCGGGCCTTGAGTTGAATACATAAGACGTCCTGATGACAACTACAGAGTCCCCCAACAGTTCACTCGGAAGCGAAGCTCTCAGAACAGCCCGTACAGGCGCCTTGAGGACCCCCTATGTAGCGTAAAAGGATCCCTTTTGGAAGACCATGGGGTGTCACAAAATACTGCTCGGGTCCGGGCTCCTTGGATCAGTTTCGTCAGGATGTCCGTCCCCCTGCAAGAAAAACCGGTTGTCCCTAGGACATCGGCGTGTCCTTGTGGTGTAGAGATACCCCAGAACCCCTTTTGATCTTCAAATCTCTTAAGACCCTTCAACGCTTCGAGATTCGGAAGGATTTATATGAAAGCACACCCGCATATAGTAACTTAATAAATTCTTTCCCCAAACCAGAAGTTCACGAATGCACAAATTAAATTGGATTAAAATGCAAGAATGACACAGCCCCAAATAACAAAGAATACGAATGATGTATAAAGAAAAAATCAAACTAATAAATGATAACCAAAACGACCTAGAAAAGGAAGAAAACACCTGTTTAAATATATGTGAAGGCCCAAAAAAAATAAAAAGGTAGATAAAAACGTGTGTGTAAGATACAAGATTTTAAGAGAGTGGGGATAGAGTCAGAAAAGTTCAGATAAGCTTAGATTCAAATCAGTAAAGCAAAATGTCAAAGTTAAATTTTCTTGTTGCGGTTGCATGCAGTAGTTGGCTCGAGGTCCAAATATGTCTTTGAAGCGACTAAAGAGAATAAAGGTGTCTAGTCATTTAGATAGCTCGCTCTAAGCTTTAAGCGAATTTTTATCAAGCAGTGTGCATCATAGGATCTCTCTTGATGCCTTTAATGTTACGACTCTTGACTAAAAAGGATGATAGAAAAGCTCCAACCCCACTTGGGATCCCAAGAATGTAAACCTAACGACGGAAAACCGTCAGCCAAGGCTTTATATTTATGGGCAAATCAAACATATCGAACCCACTTGTCGTAATGTGTTGGTATAAGCATGAATCACTCCAGGTCGAACTGAATCTGGAAGAGTTGCAATACTTTCAACTGATGATTGGACAAGCGCAAAGGGTGCGTTGGGTGCAAATTTGATGAGATTGGTGGTAAGAGCATTCCCAAAGATGGTTTGGCTATGGTCAAAAAGCGGGCAAAAAGTTTGAGTAAGCATTGAAAAAAGTGAGCAGATGGTGCATATTGATCATGTGAACTCACACCACTGCAATGCCGATCACTCCGCCGATCAATTGCCTGCAGATCATGAAGAGACAAGAAATGAGCTGTTATGCTGTGTTGCGTTCTTGAATAAGGAAATGTGCGTACGCAAAAGTGACCATACTGGTTGCTTGAGGAACATCCTCCTCCCTCACATTTGCTTGTATAGCAACCTGGACATGTTTCAATAGTCATCAGCAGGTGAGACTTCTTGATACTCAAGTCTTGAATACTCACAATTACGTTTTGAAGAACCAGACCAATCCCGGTACCAATGATGATTTGAAATCCAATCAGTTTTCCATTGCTTGAGAATTCATCTACATAATGAATCATGGGTTAGAAAGCCTGATCAGAGCCAGGCAGTCTAGCTGCAACATACCAAGAGTGTGTAGAAGTCCTGATCCGACTGTCAGCAAAACAGGCCCAACTACCAGTGCAGGCCAATAATATCCGGTAGAACTGATGGCGAAACCAGCACAGCCAGCCGATACAACAATTGACAACACTGAGAGATTTTGATGTGTTTCAATAATCGACTTCGACATCATTTAGAGTGATTGAGAAACGTACTGAGAGGAAGTAAGTCAATACCCGACTTTGTAGCTGACGCATTTTTGACCGCTTCAAAGTGAATCGGCAAAAAGTCTAAAAAGGAAATCAAAACCTTGTTCAGTAAAACCTCCGGCTTGGTCTAGTTCATGGGCAATGAATTACGCACAAACTGCAGTGAGCACTGTGATAATGCGCAAATGGAAAGAAATAAGTAAACATCAACGATAAGTTATATGAAAGTGAAATTGATAGACATGAAACTCACTGGTGAGCATGACGAAAAAGGCCTGTAAACAGGTGCCAATTCTGAGCACAGGCAATGATTTTATAGCAAGGAGATTAGTTTTGTAAGACGAGGTGATCTAGGTCTATGAGATACGTACTGAGTGCGGTTTGCAAACAAGCGGAAGGGGAAAAGACTGCTGCCGATTTTCTCATCAACTCCTTTCCATTCCCATAGTAAGAAGACAGCGAGCAGGGCGCCGAAACCGCAGAACGTCCCAATCACCACTGGGCTTCTCCAAGCGTATTGGTTTCCTCCCCATTGCAAAGGGAGAACCAAGAGGACGATTACTGGAGTTAAAATTCTATAAGTCAAAAGGCACTTGACAATGTGTGATAACAATCGTAGGATTCACTAACATCCTACCATCAAGAGAGCTCCGATGAAATCCAAAGTGCCGAGCTTGTGGAGAAAAGAACCGTGCATTGGAGTCCAACGTCCGAAAGTAATGCGATTCCATTTGAGGTCTACCATGCCATGCATTTCCTCCGACACTTCAGGAGGCGTTGAATCGGGTATGACAAGAAATATTGATAAAATCGTGATTGCTCCACAAGGCAAGTTAATCCACTGAGTGAGCGAGTAGGAGATGATTAGCCAAATGGAATTCAATAAAGTTGCAAGGACGGTATCTGCAAATTATGAGATAGATATCTAGGATTGCAATTCTCGCAATCATAACTTACAAAACACCATCTCCAACTCAAGTGATCCGTGAAAGCCCCACCGAGAAGTGGTCCGATGACAGAGGAAGCAGCAAAGACTGCACCGAAGCTCCCGAGCAATTTTGGCCTGTCCTCAAGCTCGGTGATATCGGCAATTATACTCAAGCAAGAGACAAAGATTCCAGCAGCACCGACACCAGCAACTGCTCGAGCGATGATTAAGCAGATCGCATTAGGTGACAAAGCACATATCAGAGAGCCGATTTCAAATATTGAAACAGCCATGATGAAGACCCAACGACGATTGAAGGTCATCAACAATTGCGCGTAGAGTAAAAGGAATGAGACTTGAGTGATAAACTGTATATTGTCCAAAATTAAATTCCTCAGTGTGTTGCAATATCTCGGGAGAAAAATGGCACAACGATCCGAACTTTGGTCAACTCACGTAAGCACTGGCAATCCAACCAATTTGATCAAGAGAATTAAAGTTAGAGGCGATGACAGGCAAGGCGGGACTCAAGATAGTTTGATCCAAGGCGATCAATAAAATGGACATCAACATCCCAACAAATGCCAAGAAAAGTCGTTTCCCCCTCAAGATTTTCTTGTTGGTGACAGGTCGTGGCTCTTCTTCAGAATCATACTCCTTGGAGATCTTTGAACGAGCGAGTTTAGACTCTGGTGAAGCAGAAGGTCTCGATGGTGATTCGTATCCATTTGGATCCACTTTCTCTGACATGTCGTTTGGTTCAGATATTTTATCTGATGGGGATTCATCTACCTTGGAAGTTTCTTCAGGTGAAATTGTTTTGAAGGCTTCTGATGGGGAAGAATTGCGTTTGGAAGGGGTGATCTATTTGAATCGAATATCCATACCATATCAGACACTAAGTGGTGAATTGGAAGCCAAATAATGAATCTCGAACACGGGGGAAGAATTTCTCACAGGAGTATTAATGATTTGAAGATCGGCCATTGTGGTCAAAGGGTTTGGTCTTGTACGCGTAAGGTCGTCTCACAAGATGTCTGGGTGACTGACGCGCGCGCGTTTCGAGAGGTGATGGCGATTGAGGGAGTAATATATCCAAATCGAGTTTGAGTATGAACGAGTGATAGGGTTGACTTTACCAATCAAAGCTGATGATGACTGATGGCTAGTTGGGGATATTTTGGAGAAGAAACCCTGTGAGACGGATCAATAGGGGTATGGAGGTTGAAAGCGATTGAGACGATGAGTGTGAATAAAATGTTCGATTCTGGGAGTTCTTCTGGAGACTTTGACGAGAAATCTCCAAAAAGCCTTTCAAGTTAAACAATCTCATTCACCTTGAAGACTTCCAGATGGTCAATGGCAGGACAGCATATCGGTCGTGTCGATCAAATAGCCAAGTAGATCAAAGACTTTAGATTATGCGAATATAAAAAAACACGAGCAGTCCAACCGGGTTCAGATGTTCCGCAAAAACTCACAGCAAGCGTACAAGATTGCCTAAGGTTTGCGGATCATCTCAAATATGCGTTTACCTCGTGAGGGGGCTAGGAGAGAGGATGTAGATTTAGACAGGAGGGTAAGTCGTAACCCGCTCTTTCCCTCTGACATGATCACTACTCATCATCATTAGTCTCACTCATGCAGCCTCGAGAAGCTGGATCTACTCGGGTAGAGGAAGAAGCAGGGTGAAGCAGGTGTCAAATTCTGATATCAAAGTCGGTCGAGGCCTGCAATGCTTCAGATGAAGTTGTTTCGTGACCGCCACATTCGTCTTTGAATTCATCCTATGCTATCCTCCATGACGTTCACCCTGTATGCCACCGGTTCAAATCAGAGCATACATATACATCCACAACACCACCCTCTCGGTCCCAAACTGACCTGCTCAAATTGTTGATGGCGAATACCTTGGCGTGATGTATCCAGCTTTAAGCGATCGGCAAGTTTGGTCTATGAACCGCCAATAGTTAAATGAAACGATATCATTTCTGTTTGCCATAAACAGTGAATCTGACTACATATGCATATAATATCTAGGTACGTACCTTGAGGAGGTTGAAACGGATGATTCGCGCATACCAGATCGGTCGGCAGATGGTGAGGAGGTGATGGTCACAATCCAGGATGAGGAAGCAAAGAGCCAGAGGCTCGAGTCTTCAGGATACAGAAGAAACAATGTGGCTACTAGAGCGTCTCACGATGCACGAAACACAAATTCCAGGATGATTGTATATCGGTTCACGAATCGTTTATGTACGAATATTCGTGCCAAAAAGATAAATCGTAAGGTGATGGATGTATTTGTAAACTTACATCGGGTCTCATCTCAGCTTCAAGTAGACCTTTGGCGGCGTAATGGGTACATAGAATACCTGAAAATACCTCCAAAGGAAACTTGATGATCGATCCCAACCATCTATGTAGTGCACTATATGCTCAAATTTCTCCAAAAAGCGAAGCTAAGACGAATTGCTCAGGTAGGACCGTTGACTCTCTCTATCCAGTAACCGAGCCACTGGAGCCTTTGCTTGCTTTGGACATCATGGAACTTTCAAATTGACAGAGAGCTGTGTCGTTTTTCTTTGAAGCATAGCAAATCAGTCAGTACAGGTCAATACATCCCAGCTCAGCTTTTGTGTCGGTTTCTTTAATCTTGATCCATTGGTTTTCTTACCCCGCTGTCTTCAAGATCAAGTTTGACTCTGCATAAGAAGTATGAGGATACGTAACAACCTTTCCAGCATCTTCAATTTCTCATCTCACATCACTTGAGTGGTAGGTAAGATCCAAAGATCTAACGGATCGACAGATCTCTCTGCATCATCTTATTTTATTTCACTTTTCTGGCTGTTGAGTCGTTTACATACACCCTTGGTTGCTCCGCTGGCCAACACCCTGCTACATGCATAAAGCTCCTGATCAGCTCTATTAGATCCCACTTTCGAGGTCAAGCCATCCAGCGAGGGGTCCATGTACTACACGAATCTCGGGTCTTGAAATAGCACGACCAAATGAGATTCGTACTTGAACTGAGCAGAGATTCGCTATCCAAGTTTTATGAATCCATGTTGCCTTTCAAGAATTATGCGTAGCTTCTGTTCCATCAGTCTTTTCATTTGGCGATGGTCCAAGCCAATAAGTATAGCCGTGAACGACTCCGTTGAAAGCAGCGGTGGTAGTCAACAACCAAGGAAGTTTGAGGCAAGAAAGTCTCGTTTTTGACTCGTGCATGAAAGTGTGTTTGAAGGATTGTTTAGCGTGCAAAAACAGATAGATGAAGCTCCATGCTATTTTCGAATATGAGAGTTGAAGTTGAACATTCAGACGAGGTGATTCGAAATGTGACCCAAAAGTTTGATCCAAGATTAATTTTTATACTGATGTGTGGGTGAGTGACGAGAACAACCTTACCGGAAGTAGTACCCGAGCCATTGCAAGCATCACCAGTTGAAGTAATGTATCTGATTCAGTTTGGGAGAACATCAAGAAGGTCAAATCACAATAGGTAACGTAATCCAAAGCAGATTGCTCACCCTCCCAGTCCAAATGTCATGGCCAGCGGGGATAGCTGCCAAAGTGGAGGCAATCCTAAAGACAAAGCTGTTTTTCGACTGGCCATAGGTAGTGAACTCAGTACTGTAGTTCCGTAGATGATATTTCGTCAAATGCAAATCCTGATTATGCTGATGTTGAAGCTCGACCGATTCGATTGTTGATCATGAGTAAGACCTACGCAAAGCACTCATGGTCCAAGCAGGCCAAGGTGAAGAGGAGACGTTCAAGCACCATTTAGAAAATTGTTCATGTGTCGAGCTTATCGGTTGGTCGACACCATGGTCGATCTCAGACATGAGGGTGTGACTTCAAAGAAACGCAGAAAGAAGTAATAATCCTCGAGGCGTAGGTATCACCGTATCCCTTATGATGACAATCTGGGTCAGTGTTGAGATACAACATGAGTTTTGAGATTGAGGAACTGAAGTCAAGGCTTACAAAATGTGGTTCAGTGGTCTGATCGGTTATCACTACGATGGACGAGAGAGGAGGGTGGAGGACAAACCTCAAAACCCGAAACACAAACCTGTATCGTCCTGTACAGATACTCAATTTTCGAGTACCTCTGATCAAACCTCACCAGAACGTCCGAGAAACGATCCAGATCACGATGATAAGTTGTACATAATAACTATCCTTTCTATCAAACAAACAGCATTTTGATATAAAATCTCATGCTAGCTAAAAATGAAGGAATGAATCGTACATTACAAATTCCAAACCGCATCTCACTCAACAACTTTTTCAAAAGACCAACAAACATCCAGGAATCAAGTACAAGTTTAATTGATTTGACTTTATAATCGAAAACATTAAAAGCTTTGTCTTTTGACCAGATCAGGAGAGCAAGGCATAAAATTAGTACATTTGGACACACAGACCCTCTTTTTGTATGGATCATTCCACAAGCTTTCAATTTCAATTCACTACTTCAAATGCAGATGGTCTCTTGGGTTGGATTTCTGCTTTTGGGGCTTTTTCTGACCTTTGTTTAGACATCAATGTTGAATTCTCAACTCTCGTATTGAATTTAAACCTTGAGATTTTCCTTTTCAGTATCATTGCACAAGAAAGAAACTGAATCACATGCTACATATATTGTGTAATAACAAGAAGTTGTTACACAACGAGAATCAAGCCTTCTTTGTACCGGAGTCTTTATCTAAAAAAGTTAAACCTGAAGGGAATGGTATCGCTTGTCATTGTATGAACATTGAGCGCGGATAATTATTTGTCTGTTGAGTGAAATGTGTTGTTCACCAAGTCAGTCAGAATCTGAGTGCCTTTGATTTTGGAAAGGTGCGACTAAAATTGATTGAGATTTGTCTGTGATGAAAATTGGAAGAATTTCAAAGCAAATCTTTTTGTTTGATAAAAAGGCCAAAAAAAACTGTAGTTAGTACTTATCATCGTGATTCTAACTCGTTTTAGATGATCTAAAGACTTACTTTTCAATTCGATGTGATGATTCGACAGCATTTTCAATTGGGAGTTAACTGGAATCGTCTCTGGCATCGTCTGGATCGTTTCTAGGACGTTCTGGTGAGGTTTGATCAGAGGTACTCGAAAATCGAGTATCTGTACAGGACAATACAGGTTTGTGTTTCAGGTTTTGAGGTTTGTCCTCCACCCTCCTCTCTCGTCCATCGTATAATATATATCACCGGTTCAATTCGAGCGACCGCAACAAAAATTTGAAACCTGTAGTTTTGAAAAGTACAGTTCGCAAAACTGCATATTCAACCTACCCAGGTCCCATGATGACAAGTTAACTTTCAAGTCTTGTAAAATTCACGGCCTTTTTCTTTATGTGCCATGTCATGTTTCAAAAAGCAGTGTGAAGTCAACTTGTCAATGTCCTTGGAGCAACCCTTAGCGTGCAGAAGAACTCATGCTGGGTGAGTACAATTGTAGCCACTGAGTAGAATGACGGGAGTCTTCCTTCCCCTTCACCATCAGCACCTGCTCTGCCAAGGCATTCAACCTGATTTACGCACATATGGTGATCCTCTTTACGGTTTCTTTATCGGGAGACTATACCTCTACTAATAAAGCCGGAAGCTACAAGACGAAGCACAGATTTTATGGACTAGGGCACATTGCTGACATATAACCACACATTCAAGAAACTCATATCCAGATTCCTAACGCAGCATGCATGACAAACAGGGAATTTAAACATGTTGGGTGGATAAGAACAAGAACACGATCATGCTTCCGTATCAATCTGTATCACGGCGCGAATGCATCTGCTACATGGATATATCCTTGTTTTTTCTCACATTTGAGTCCTTGGAGAATATAGCTATCACTCTCACCTCAACATTTTTTCTTGCTGGTGAAGCTTTGGCATTTGACTCTTCAAATGATGCATGGGGTAAGGTCATGTGTCCTTCAGCAGCACTGTCGTATTGCACAAACATGGCCACCTCTTCTGGTGCTTGCTGGCTAAGATAATACCATTTGTTCTTTGGGTTGAAGCGCCATTGCACGCAAGCACACCGTCCAGGACCTCGCGGTCTGTATGCATGTGCATTTTCTATCTCAACAGATCTCCAATCACAAAGTGCCAAGGGATCTCTTTTGACGACCTGGAGCGGTCTCCAGAGATGAATGATGACAATCCTATTATTATCATCTTGGGCAAAAGCCTTGAATTCTTTTGCTTCATTGCTCTCTAGTCCGCGACGGGCAATGGCTTTTTCTACAGCTTCTTTGGCACCTTCCGACGAGAAATCAGAATGGACACTGGGCACAGGATTTCGACTGTGTCCCACCACCTCTGAATTGGGCTCTTGATCTCGAACTCGAGAATTGAAGGCATACACTGCATCGGCATTGGTTCTGTCATACAAATCAGTAAATAAATGCGAGCGCATGGTCATCTAGCTCACACTCACATCTTTTTTACTAGCTCTTCAGCGGCTGGACTAAGCAGTTCATCATAATCTTGGTCATTCTTACACTCTTCAAGCCCTGTGACTTTGTCCTTGACGTAGGCAAATCCGTGGACGTCCCATTTGAATTGATCTTCGGAGCCACGAATATCTTTGATTACAACGGGCTTGGATTTTTCTACTCTTTTCAAATAATCTCGGTGTGCTTCTCGTCCTAAATCGACTTCTGGATCATATCCTAGCGATACAGTTTCATCACAGTACTTTAAGTTGGTCTTGACATCCAAAACCGCTGAAGAAGGGCATCCCGAAAAACTTAGGTCAGATGTACTCAACGAACAAGCATATAGGAAGCGTTCCAACAACAAAGAGACGTACCATCGTGCACCAGACCTGCAGGGACTGCATTCAGGGATTTCAAAAATTGCAAAGCCGCAGAGAAAAAGATCAGATTGATACAAAGATGCATCTGGACACGAAAGGGTTGGGCCGATGAGATAATTAAGAGGTCAGAACTTTTGATTTGAAAGTCGTAGGACGAAGGAGATCTCAATATGTGAGTATGAATCAAAGTGGAAGGTTTGCCCGAAAAAATGAAGCTCAGATCTCCTCAACAATTTATACCTTTCATGTTAGCAGTCAATTGGTAATCTCGACATCTTTCGTCATATCATATCATGGGAGTTCGGTCTGTTCCTGCTTTTGAAACACGCAATTCTCTCTCCGGATGAGTGCGGTGTCTCAATGTCACATTGAAATGGTGCGATTAAAACCTTCATTACCATCCATTTTGTGCTGAGCTTGGCGAATTTCGGAGCTTTCAATTCCATTTCGTGAATCAGCTGCCAATGCAGGTAGATCACTAGCCCCCTAAGGTATGAAACCATTGGGACATTGCCCTTGGCGTCGATCATCGACCAAGAGGTTTGCGACACAAGACAATGTAGCTACAGAATACAAGATGACCGTCCTGCGAGGCTATATTACAAATTCTCAATGTCTGATATTGAGCAGCTCAAGATGCACCCCACGCTCATCGGATGCTTCCACTCGCTGTGGTTGTGCTCTTATAAGCCGCTTCGGTCACTTCCGCCAGACTCACCCGATGGGATGACCATTTGGATTCATGAGAATTTGGCAGGGATGACGTACTCGCCAATGGGAAACGCCACGTGATGACCCACCCCGGGAATCGATTTTGGACTCTCTTCGTCGTATACTCAAATCTCAGCTCTCGCCTGGACCTACGAATCCACCGAGTTGATTCAAGAGTTAAGAGACTATGATCGAGTATCGAACACACCATAGAGTTTATTTTACTCATTGAAATGATAAGAGTATGTCCAATGTGCAGATAAAATTGATAGGGCCGAATTACTTCCTCCGCCATAAGCACAATTAGTCGAATCCTACACAAGCTTGCCGAAGCCTTTGGTGCACAAAGAATAAATCTCTGACTAGACTTGCACTATAGGTGTCTACTCGAACATCTACAAGACGCCAACAAGCTCTGTAGGAAATAACAATGATGCTCAAAATCATCTTGAGTGCTTCAGAATTTCTACGATGGACACGGTATAGGTTCAAGAATGTATGTCAAAGCTGAAGGACATGGACACTACAACATATATTCCAGGAGGATGAAGATAACCACCATCTAATACAAGCCAAAAGCACAAAGCTTGGCTAGCTGGGTACTGACGCCTCAGTGTAGAAAGCGTAAAAGACATAGACAGTATGAAAGAAGAGTTGACGAGAATTGAGTGAAACAGGCGAGGTAAAGATATGTAGAGCGGACGATTTCGGCTTGAAGTTTCCGACATCGATCGGATGACTCAAACATCACTAACGACAACACAGAAACATTTCCAATACAACGAGACCAAGAGATTGAAACACAGAGGGCGGGATAAGGTCGGAGTTCTAAGGTGATTCTTAAGGTTTATACATCGGAAAACAATCGGCCAGAGTCTTACTGTGTTTATTCTCGGCGTGCTCCTTCAATCTAGATTTTTTAGGATAGTCCGATGGTTTAAAAAGAACGTCAGATTATATGTGGTAAGAGTTGAGAAAAGCGTTGGGCTACGATTGATAGACTGACGCAGGTTCTCGACTGGTTTGAAGGAAGGTTTGAAAGCAAATTTTACATTGAATGTTTTTGGCTGCTTCGTTCTTTGGTAGTAAAATTTTTGATCAATGAAGAGGATATAAAATTGAGTCAGGTTATCCTTGAAATCATGTTGAATCCAATGAACAAGGGTTGAAGTATGATAGACGAACCACTTTCAATTGCGATTTGGCTGTCGTTCCCGCAGTCTTAGCATTCCGTTCCCGCTTCTGAGCGGCTTTGGCACCCTAAATGTCCGAGATTTTCGAAAAACAACAATCAAGATTAGCAGACTCGTCTCTAAAGAATATTCGTTAGATCCGATTAACGACGTCTACTTGATTGTTTTATTACTCACATTTCCTCCACCCATGTTGATTAATAGTAGGATAGCTAGATTTGAAATCGGGTGATAAATCTCCGATGCGGTTAAAGGACCTGAGGAATGTTCGAAACTGGGAAGTACACTTCAAAGTAGATTATTTGAAGAGAGGTGAGTGTTTGATGTTTGTTGAAGTTTGAACAGTTGTTGGTTGATAGCAAGTTTGAATAAAAATCAAACCCATATCAAATTCCAAAATTCAGATTTGCGGATAAATACACAGCATACATACATACATATACACATACAACAGCATACAACAGCATACAAGGAAGCTTTCTTCGGATTGATCCCGATAGTCTGTATCATAAGATTGGGTTTGTTTGATTCCTTATCTTTCTTTATCTTTCCATCTCACAAACAAGCCTCATCAAAATACTAAGAAGGTGACCTTAACCCCCGAAGTTTCAGTCAAATAGCTTGTTGATGTTCTTGGAACACCCCAGAATCAATGGAAACCCTTTGGAAAAGGATGTCTTCTGGGAGGGCTTACAAACAAGGAAAGGCATGTCAAGTATGTAAAGCCTTTGCTTTCTTCAAAGCTTTTCCTACAAACTTCTTTCGTGTCCTGGGTGCCAAAGTACATCATGAGCTTAACTTTTACTGACCAATATTGTAAGGCGAGATGCTTGTAAACATGGCCTTCAAGGCAGTATGTATGCAAATGTCAAACACCCCTGCAATGTCTGGTCACAAACTTGGATTACAAAGCTACCCAGTTGAGATAGATGAGGCATTTATATTTGAGGGATGGAAGCAGAGTATCTCCACGCAGATATGCAAGTCACATGCCACTACTAGTATAACATGAAGAGAAGCTCCTGTGAGTGTGACTTGTGTGGCTGTTTATTGAGAATTTGATCAAGATAAGGATAATGCTAATACAGAGTGAGGTTGCGTGTCACAGGACTGAAGTGGTTGGTGGCCCCGACGAAAGGTAAACCCGATTGATGACTTCAAGGTGAAAAGTTCGAATGGAGTATCTCAAGGAAAGTGAAAAGTGAAAAGACCTGTGACACACTCATCAAAGACGAAAGGTACAATCGATCGAATTCACTTGACATCCAAATGAACATCGACCCTTCTTTACCAACGGCAACTCTTTTGCCTTTGACCACCACCACCTCCACCACCACCTCCAATGAAATCCAACCACCAAATCAGAATAGTACTACTTCTCAAAATCAATTCACTGATTCTAACAATTCATTAGCACCTTTACTTCATCCACCTCCTTTATCAATCTCTTTCAGTCATAAATCAGATGAACTTTCTTCTTCTAATCATCTTCATCATCATCGATTCACCAATTCTACTTCATCGAAACGAACTCGTCATCGAACCTCATTAGGACTTGAAGATGACCATTCAGGTGATTCTAGTTATGATTCCGATTCAGAGTCATCCGATAATCAAGATCAAGATAATCTAGAAGATGAAGGTGCTCTCGGTTCTAGATCGGCAAGAGCTGGAACAGCTGAGCGATCCAAGAACAAGAAGAAACACAAGTCGAAGCGTAAGAAACGTTCGTTTCGCTCTTCGAATCCCTCCGACATGCGTACCTCTGTCGATACTATCCAATTAGCACACGCAGTCGCTCTAATTCAAGCTCAGCGTGAATCTCGATCTCTTTCGATAAGACGTATCAATCCAGATGCACAGTCTAATATTGTCTGATTTCTTTCATTTAGAACAAGCCACTACATTCTATGGCACCGGCTCGCCTAATATTCTTGGAGGCTTGGGCGTTTCCCCATCTAACCACAGTAACGCTAACCCGCCGAGTGGATCACAATCCACTCCCAACAATCAGCAACAACCTCTCACCGAACGCGAAGTGATGTCTCGAATCGAGGCTGCAGTGAATCCTTTGAAGGTTCAGGTGCGTTCTCCGTCTGGAATTCATCATCTCGCTTGCTATCATTGATATTGACCATTGGGATCTTGCATTGGGTTAGATCGCCCACCTCAAGTCTCAAGTAGATACGTTGGAGCGTCAACGCCAGTCAGCAGTTCGGGAAATGACTTCAACTAGAGATTTGCTAACTACAGCCTTCAAAAAAATTGAAGCGCTGACCGGGAACGCGCACGAGTCGATTGACAATGGAGCGATTGAGCATTCCGCGTTCGATCCTCAGATCTCCGGTGCTAGTGGCCAGACCCCGCCTCCAGGGTTACATGTGAATGTTTTGGACATTCCCGTTGTGCTCCCCTCCAATGCTCTACAGAACACGCTTCCCAATCCGCATCTATCACATATGATTGCCCACAGCAATCACCACGATGAATCTCGGACTTCACTCTTGTCACACCATCTAGGGAACGTCAATCCACTCTCCTCTGCCGCTATCCTCAGAAGTGGTTCATTGTCACGGTTCGACCATGAGGAGCCGCTACGTCGAAGTACCCCGAAAAAGTCTGGATTACCTACGAGTGTGAGCTTCACAAATCCTCACAGCCTACTCAATAAGGTCAAGAAACACCGAAGACCCGAATTATCCCGTACAGTCCGTGCCACCGTGTTTCGTCTGATGGGAATCTCCTCTAATGCTTCACCATCCGCATCAATGCAATCAATGCATCATGAGCCTAAATTTGGTAATGAGAAAAGTCGAGCTTATCATGGTTACACCACTACACCCTGCTTCCCCGAATATACGGATGAAGATTTAATCGATCCAGTGACTCAGGTCAAAATCTGGAGATGGGATTGGTCAAAGACAATTCGTCAATCGCCCAATAATACGGCATTCGCGAAAGAGATACGAAATGTGATTGTTTCAGAAGTAGAGGATACTAGCAAGGCGATGCATACTGACGTTCCTATTGGTGATTGGGAGTACTTGGACGACGCGATCGATAGTGCATACACTAATATGAGACGTGAACGAGAGAATCAAATTGATCCGACGAAAATGGTGAAGAAAGAAGTTCATCGAGCTCGAAACAAGAAGAGAGGTCTGAAAGAAGATAAATGTAAACGAAGGAAGAAGGCATTGGATGAATATCGATCTGATCCGGCCAGCTTCATCTCCAAAATGAAAGATCTTGATATCATCTTACCCGATCGACCTCCAATCACATCTTCATCTTCAGATCAGACTCAAAAGACTTTAGAAGAAGAAATTTTGAATAGTTGGGAAGAATCATTAGATTTGAAATATATGTCAAGTGAAGATGAAGCTCACTTACAAGACTTTGAAAATCCGATTTCAGTCGGACCTGAAAGACCTGAAAGTAGTCTTTCACTCTCTGATAAGATCTTTGCAATTTGTAGACCAGGTTGGAGGTCAAACATCCTTCAAAACTTATTCACCTTTTTGGATGCTATCAAACAACCTGAAAGGGCTTATCGAAGAGTACTTGGTAGCACACGTCAAAATATGCCACCTGCTGGTACCCCTCCTTGGAGTGAGTCCTCTTTTTCCTGACACATCGCTTTACCAGTGAGGGCGTGGTTTCCGTATTGTAATCTTACCTGATACCTTGTTCTTCTTTGTCACAGTGATTAATACAGAGTGGGTGATGACCCTTGGCCCACAAGAGGAGGTACCGAAATGAAAGAAACAGACAAACTGAATCTGACATCAGGTTCTTCAATACATGTCCTTCATTCAAGAACTTATCATCTCACTTCTGATCATTTTCAGCTTAAAGTGTATATATCTTTTCAACCCGTTTCTCTTCATTGCATGGGGTTATTTGATCGTGTAAGAAAAATGTGACTTATCACAGATCTTATTTGTTGTTGGAAAACATAAAAGGCTTGGTTTGTAATTGAGAATGTCAGCCTTGACAGTATGATTCTCATGAGCCTCGTGATTCACACCCTTGTCATTTGCTGATAAGCTTAGGCTAGAGTATGTGTTTTATGTACTTGAAGTATTAGGGTATATGGTGTTAGGTGATTTGACTTGAAACTGTCTTGGGTCTTATTGATTCATGCAAGCCTTGATCCTCTGTTTGTGAGGCTTGAGATGACTTATAGGCCTTGAGCTTGAGTAAGCCTCGCTTGCAAGCGAGTTTGCGTTAAAACATAGCCATGAATGATGAAAAGGTCTGAAAGACGGCAAGAAAGATCATGGGGGAAACAGGACTGACAATCGTTTACATGTTTTCAAAAGGAAAGCTGATGATCATCTTTGAATCTTCAAGTAAACCAACAAATTCTATGATTGTGTCTCTTGTGAATCACATCACACTCAGGAAGCTAATAAGGCAATGTGGATCCAACACGAGGTCTTCCCGGATCAACCACCAATTTTCCTTTATGAATTTCCATCATGCCCGTCTCATCACCTTGTATATCTGGCCCAGATCAATATACAAGGTGATGAGATGGGTTCGATCGTGGGGAATCCCAGTATCTTTGTTCGAGACGCCTATGTGAAGGTAAGCCTTTGGCTTTGATTGATAATACCTTTGGTGATAACTCTGATGATGTACTGGACACATAAAGTTTTGTCACTTCCCACCTACAATTCCTATTTCTCCCACTAAAACTGCCTACAATCCTGGTAAGGCATCATCCCATCCTGATGAGCCTAAACACAAAAAACCATGAGGCACCAAAATATACAACCTCCTAAAACTCCTATCATTAGTGGGGTTCAAGTCAAAAGAGTTTGGACCTAAAATTATAGGCCAATGCCTATAATTTTTGGTGGAACTTCCCGTCTGATTCATACCATTGTGGGATTTGGAAAGGTGAGGCTAGAGAATAATGGCATATAACTGGAGTGATTGTATTCACTCAGAACTATTGTGGTCATACACCTAGAATGCAGAGACAGGGGTATGACAACCCCCCAATTCTCTCAGCATTACCAGACAATGATGTGGTTGGACCTGACCAGGTCGGACCACAGCCTACGGCAATCTTGCCATACCACACCCCGTGGCTCCACCTCCTTTAGTGGAAGTGTCAAACAAACACAAACACAAGCACTTGGAGCTCAACCTGTCTTATCCTCATTGCAAGGCAATGGTGGTTCCCGCCCAAACGGCAGCAGAACCAGAGAACTTTGCACTTCCACAGGGAATGATTTTGGTACTGACAATGTTGTGCCCTTCAATCTGTAGCCCCACCCCCACTTGAGCTAGCACATTACCACCTATTGCATCTATGTCCGTTGTACCATTAGTGTTTTTCCTTCTGCTATTGTTTCTAAATCTATTGATCCCACAAAACCTCTTCAAGTTAATGTTGGTTCTAAATTCTGCTAGCAATTTAAACACACTGTCATTACAATATAACAATGATAACCTGCACTGCATGAAAAGAGAGAGATGGTGATGATCGATGAGGCCACACCTCTACACCACAAGGGGGTCCGGACCATCTTCAGGCAGTAAGTGCCGCTTGTCAACAGGCGGCCTACGCAGTGAATGCCAGTCTACTGCTGGTCAGTGCAGAGATGCCCCAGTGGCAGAAACAATGTGGCTATTGTCCACCTTCCAGGAAGTCATTTGTTGAGCATCAGATACTTGGAAAGTGGCCTGCAGAGGGCCCCTATTGGCTTTTTTGCTAGGCTCATCTTTCTCAATGCTCAGACTTGAAATCAATCAAATTGGGGATTTAGAAGGAGATACCAAGAGGAAAACAAAAAGGGATCTGAAGGGGCATTCCACACAAGGGTTCATTTGATCCAATCTTTGTAGATACAGATTTAATTTCAGAAAACAAATGTGATATATATTGTTTCAAAAATGTGTGGGTGATCACTCTTTAGCATGTGGATTGTTTTCCATGGTACCCATCTCCTGTTCAATTTCAGCATTGGTAAGCAATGCAAAAGTAACTGTGGCAGGATTGTCAGTGACAACTGTGTTCCCATCAAACATTGCACAATCAAATTCATTGACCAGATTGTAAAATCTCATTGTTCAAAGTCACCTCATAAGCACAGGTTTATCTCAAGAAGCAACTGAGAGGAGTGTTAAAAGACTTACACTGCAGTGTAAAGGGGGCCACACTCTTGCAGTGTTGTAGAACTTGAAGCTCAACAAGAGCTTTACAGAGCTTAAAGAGGGATAATCTCTTAGTATAACTAACTAATAGAAGTTGCCTGAAGACTGCCTCTTCATGAAAGCACCAACACAGGTTTTGTTGACTTCTTTTTAAGGCACCAGAGAAATGTTTACCAATATTCAATTCAAGTATTATTCCCGTGAATTTTGTATAAAAAAGACAACTCAAAACTGCCATAATGTTATTCCAATTTGATCACAACAAAAACACAATTTTTATTACTGAAACAACACCAATCAATTAGACTGTCATTCCAATGAAGACTTGTAGCAACCCTGGGCCAGCAACACAGGTGTTGTGTGCTGCACTGCGCCTGCTTTGCGGGTTTTCTGACCGCACCACAACATAGAATCAAATTCTAGCTTGCGGCCTAACTTGCTGTGCAACAAGATCTGTAAAATCAACAGTTCTTTTGGGCCGCAGCAACATTTGCTGTGTTGTTGCCCAAAAAAATTACAATTTGATATTTTTTTGGTGCTGTTGCACCTGTTGTGTTGTGCAACGGTCAAGGCACCATGCAACCTGACCTGACCTTTTGTTGTTGCGGTACTTACCACAACACAGCGTCTAATGCTGATTCTTGTGGTGTGTTGCGGAGCGGTGCGGTGCATGGCTGGCACAGGGTTGCCTGTAGTCTTATCACACGTAAAGAAATTTCTTCTTTGATATAAAGGGGCTATTTAGTGGAATTACTACTGATAAAGTAATTTAATAATGATTAAAAACACTCTAACAAAAGCATAAGATCAGAAAGAAAGGGGAACAATGCCCTTAAAATCACAACCAATTGTATATAACACTCCTTCAACCTTCCAACAATGGTAAACAAACTTCAAAAACCAACAAAACTCAACAAGAAACCTCCAAAACCACAAAAACTCCAATGATATAATCTCATCATATAATTATTAATAAGGATTGGCATGATTTAAGCGGTGAAATTGATCAATTGATGTTTAAAAATGAGGAATCAATCTTCTTACCATGAATACAGGTGATGTTTTCCTCATGTCCATAGCTGAAAACCATTTTTAGATTATGGCCTTTTTGTAAAGTTGTCCAACTTTGGGTTACTATATCTCATTTTATAGCCCTGTTTATACTGATCATTTATTGCCCCAGCATGACCCACTTTTGATATGTGATGAATAAGCTATTGAGCTGTAAAGATTGATAAAATAAACTTTTTGTCATGTAAATGTTGCTACATGTGTGTATGTAAGTGCAAAAGTCAAAATTCACACCATTCCCTTGATTTCCTTATATCTTTTTCACTGGACCTCTGTAACTAGAGGTTTAAAGGCTGAACAATATGAAATGAAACATTCTGCGTTGATTGAGCTATCCCCCATCCTGATATGCCAACTCTCAACATATGTAATGAGCTGAAAACCTTCAATTCTGATGATTATTGACCATTCTCACCCCTTTCCATGTCTAATATTGATTTCCCTTCAATCATAAGATCATCCAGAATCAATCCAATCATAATGATAACTATAAAATCCCTCCAAAGAACTCTTGGTGCCATGAATGCCTCAATGACATCACTACACTGGAATTAATACCATAGATACCATAGTACCCTTGTTTGCCATCCTCAAATTCCCTTCTTTCTTGAATAATCTCACTCCTCTCTTATCAATGTCCATGATTGAAGTCGTTGCTGAATAATGTTATTCTTTCATTTCACAATCTAACCTTCTTGAACCCTCAAAACAATTCATATTAAGCCAAAAACCATTTCCAATCCCTTATACCTATTATTTTGACTTTTTCTTCAATTCTTTTCATTTTATCCGTCTTCTTTCATTATTTTCATAGTAAAATAGTTTTAGTCAAAATAAAATTTGGTAGTGAATTTAATGGTCAGAAAGGGTCTTAAATCTGCTTATGAATCACATTTTTATTATCGTCTCAATCATTTGGAGATTGTCTCAGAGGCATATGTACCCATGTGACAATGGAGCCTTCCAAACCCTTGTGGGGATTGAACAGTCCCGGGGTTGGGAATCAAGATGCGCCCTAGGTCAATTGAACACTTTTGAGGCGGCCTTCTTCTTTGGTACAGTCAATCCAAAAAAGCTTGGCCCGCCCAGTTTTCGTAAAATAATATTTTGGCCTGTATTGGCCAAAATATGCTTGTATTGAGCCTTCAATCGAGATAGCGATATCTCGATTGAATTTGGCCAGTTGACTGCTGTTGAGTGTAGCTCAACCATCCTCATCCCCTACAAACATCATCGCCTTCGTTCTTCCAGTTTTGTCAGATTCGAATTCACTACAGAATCAAACTTAACATACAGAATGCCGTTCATCAAGTATAGCCCTCAACTCAAAGTGATAGCCCTTAACAAATGGCTTCTAGGACAACCCATTTCAGCGATCAACAACGAGCTTCTCACCGATATTTCTGCCAAGTCCTTCAGACGATGGAGGAATCTTTACGAACTCACTCACTGTGTCATCAGAAACACCATGACCTACGAGAGACAAGGCCGCCCGACTTTGTACTCTAAGGAGGACCGCGAGTTCATGATCGAGCTTATCAAAGACGATCCGACCCTTTTCCTGGATGAAGTTCAAGAGGCGATGTATGATCACACTGATCTACTCGCATGTCGCCAGACTATCGCAAACGATTTGAAGGAGAGGCTCTTCTTAACGGTTCACACAGTTTCCAAAAGGTCGATCCCCAACCAATCCCGCGGAAACGACGGGCAGCTTATTCCATCCGGATTGCTAATGTCGATCCCAAATGCCTTGTTTTTTTGGGTAAGTTCAATCTCTTTACTTATCTTCAATTGAGGATTCAGTAACTGACTTTTTTTTCTCTTTCAGACGAGACCGGTCTAACATCACAAGAAGTCATGCGAAACAAAGTCAGATCAAAGAAAGGCGAACGACCTGCAAAGTTGAAGCAAAGAAGATGTGGACCCCATTACAGCATGCTTGCAGCCATATGTGAAATGGGGTTACTCGCGGTACACTCAAAGGTCAACGCATACCTTCGAAAGGATTTCGAAGCGTTCCTCAAGCACATCTTGGTAAGTTCCTCTCATTCCTTTCTTCTCTCTTTGTGTACATTCGATGAAACTGATGGTTATGCATTCATATATTCCAGCTGCCTGTCATGAACCAATACCCAGCTCGAAATTTGGTATTAGTGCTGGACAACTGCACCATCCATCATGGTGGAGCGATCGAATGCTTGTGTGCATCTTTGGGCATCCTTGTCCGTTATCTACCACCGTACTCACCGGATTTCAACCCGATCGAGCGAATTTTCAAGGTCTTCAAAGATCGACTCAGAAGAAATCAGACTCTAGACGATGCAATCAATAAACTAAGATGTTTGATGGTGATCATGAGTGAAGTATCCACGAGTACCCTGATTGAGAAACTTTATGAGACATGTGGGTATTACTGATATGATCTGGACAAGCTCAAAAAGTTCCCTCTATGAAGAAGTTTTTGATTATGTTTTCTCATCTCGAACCTAAAGAAAAGTCATGTTGTATCATCTCACCAAAAGAAATTTCTCTGTATGCGCCTGAGTAATAAAAAGGGTTCTCATACCCATTGATGTTTGTTTGATTACCTTGATTAAAAATGAGCCATAACCCATTGCTTCAAGAGCTTATCTCAAAACTTCCATAATAAGTTTGTGCAATTCATCAATTGTGAGATGATGAAGTCAATAAGCATGATAGCCAAAAGTGTGTTGAGATACAAGTTGAATACAATTTGGATGAACCAATATGAACTCAATAAGTCCTCAATTTTACTCGAGTATTTTTTTAAAAGTATCACTGTGGCAAAAGGCTCATGATCTTATAGATCAGTTTTTCACAGATTCATACATAAGATTTCATTTCAGCAGTAACAGTCAAACAGTTGGTCTTTTACGGGGGTTAATAATGAATACAATATCTGCTAAGCTTGTACAAGGATGACAAGTGCTTGCTACAATAAAATTTGTTACAAATTTCGATCCTTTTTGACTGAATTAATCCCAGAAGCCAGGATCCTTGCGTCTCTTGAGTTCAGCTCGATATAATGGGGCTTGGTCGTGTAAACGTACTGCGGTTCCATACGCAAATCCCAACCCAGAAAGGGTTGGAACATCTAAAGAAGGCAAAAGGAAAGCTTTGTAATCAATGATATCAAGCTTCTTGAGAAGGGCACGGGTGTGTTCGTCTTCTGGTGAAATCTTGGCCCAATTAAGGAAGTCTTCAAGAGGTGGAGGAGGACCTGGAATAGGTGACTCAATACGATTGTCAGGCACTTGGGAAGTAGTTTGAACGTTATCGGCAGGGGCAGCAGGTTGTTGATGAGGATGACCAACCTGGTTGGAAATGCGGCAAAATCGGAATTCAGGTAGCTTGGGTGGCGCCATCTCAGTTACTCCAGGTTTGCGTTTGAACTGGTTCAAAGAAGGAAATTGGTCAATAGTGATTGAGATGATGAAAAAGGAAGTACTTACCAATGCAGTTGCCCAAGTATCCATCATCGAATGGCTCAAGTGGACTGCCTCGTTGGTATTTTCTGGGTTGATAAGCCCCATACACTCCCGACCGCCAATTGAGACACATCCATAGTCCTGCATGAGCTTGACTCGTATACGCTGCCATTCTGGATTAACATCGATATCCTGTAATCAAACAGGGATCAGTAGAGGTTTATGATGAGGCCAAGATGAAGTCAGTACTTACGTGCATTTCTAATTCATCGATTCGATGAGGAGCCAATTAATTTGGATGACTGTCAAGAGTGGCTCGATCAAAAGTGTCCTCCTGTTCAGTATTTTTGAAAAAAAAACATCATCAGCAAATGAGATTTCAGAAAAGGAATCGAAAAGTAAAAAAGTAACTTACCTTTGATTTTAGACGATTGGCAGTCTTTGGATTATCAATGAAAAGTTTGAAACCAACTTCTTTACCCTTGTTGGCCTTCATGGTTTCCTTGAAGTGGTCAAGGACCACCTCCGATGCAATAATTTTCAAGGCCGACTTGAGAAACGGTCCACGGCCAGCCACGTAGCCTTTGAATGCCAACTTACCATCTAGATCAGCCTCTCTGAGAAGAGATCCACATACCGCTTTGACTTCAGCACAAGCATCGAAGACGGCCTCTTTGACATCGACGAGTGTAGCCCCATGGATTTGAATGACGGAGTTGAAAGCCGGCTCACTTGTGAGATCGATGTACTTCTGGGCGGTTCCGGCTTGTTTTTCAGCCTTGGTCTTCGGGATCGGAGTATAGACGTGGAACCATAGCTTGACAAGGCTTGGTTTGGCCTCGTCAGCTTCCAAGCTAGGTTGAACGGCCACTTCAGGGTATCGTGGCGGTGGTGTAACGGTCAAGTCGATGTCAACATGTGGTTCTGAATCAGAATCACATCAGTTCAATTGATGAAAGTTGTTTTATACAGAGGGATGAAAGAACTTACCGCTCACAGCTCGAGGTTGACCTTGAATATCGTGATTCCTAAGCATTGGGTCGACGTGAGCCTCATCGATAAAGGCGTTGAAAGACATTGGTGGGGCTGGAACTGAATGATCGGAGAAACGGACAGAGAAAGAAAGAGAATAAAAAAGAGCGAGATGAGTGTTTGGAATGAAGAAATGAGAAATTCTGAGATGGGTGGAAAAACTCACCTGGGTGTGGTCCACGAAGTCGACACTCAAATTCCTGGAAGCCTGGTTTGCGTTTCGGATCCAAATGGATCAATTCGTTATCTTGATATTGACGTGGGCCGCCGATAACGTCTTCAAAATGATGGCCACGTCTGCGGAGAGAAATTAAACGCAAAGGTAAGCAGCTGAACAACTTTGATCAAGTGACATAGAATCGAAGAAAGAAGCTTACTTGTACATTTGATAAGGGGTACCTTCTCTACCACGTTCAGGGCTAAGGCCTTCAGGTCCAGCTTGTCTCGCTTGCCGAATCGCACTAAAAAAACCATGGGTCAGTGAATTATCGTTGATAAGAATTGGGTTTTGAATACTTACAGTTCTTCACGTCTTCTCTGTTCAGCTTCTAAGAGAAGTTGCTTTTTGGTTGGAGAAGTTGCTTTTTGGTTGGTTTTTTGACCATCGTGGATTTGGAATAGTTTGTTGGGATAGTTGTGGTGGGATCGAGGGTATAGTCGTGGTGGGATGGAGGGTATGGAGTCGAGTGGTCAACAGCAGTCAACTGGCCAAATTCAATGGCCAAATTCAATCGAGATATCGCTATCTCGATTGAATTTTGGCCTGTATTGGGCAAAATATTATTTTACGGAAACTGGGCGGGCCAAGCTTTTTTGGATTGACTGTAATTGGTCAGGATGTTGCTGAAAAGTTCACAAAAATATTGAGAAAAAAGATTTAGAGCAGAAAGAAAAAGAACAAGTATGGACCATCAGCGCAGAACAGAATATCCGCAAGCTGAATCTCGATCGGGTCTGACGTTATCGAGCCATGGCCGGGTCGCAGCTCCACCAGGGTCCAGAGTGTGTGGATGTTACATGTCAGGAGTCATCGATTTCATTTCTCGATATTCTGTCACCTATGTTGATTTCATCAAGGCCTTTATTCATCTTTCATCTTTCATTGTGAAATGGACTCAGCAGATTACTCCTACGGAGAAGGTGCTACCCATCTACCCGACAAGACAGGTGGCGGTATTTCCAAACTTGGTGGAATCACCTTCGGAACCGACGAAGATAGTTTTCACAGTGATGAATTCGATCGTGAATTGGGAAAGGCCTTGGCAGTTGGAGCAGCTCGTCGTCAACAATCGAAAAAGGATAAAGGATTCTTGGCTCGTAACTTGACAAGCGCAGCCGATGAAAACTTGAGTCCAGACTCTTCATCTGAACCCAACCGCTATCGGGACAATGCCGAAACTTCAGAAAAGCCCGATGGAGCTGACCAGAGAAACCAGCGTAATACGAATGCTTCAAATTTCCAATCTGGATCAAGACCCACCATCAATCATCCTAATACTCCTTCCCGTGTCACTACACGGTCCAACAGACCTGCAAACACATTCGACAAGCTTTCTCCAATCACCTCACGAAACGCCTCATCCAAACGGAAACCTTCAAGGATTGGATCATCTCGTCTTCATAATGGTCCTATATCATCGGACTCTCCTGAAGGCACTGCGCCAGAAGATTCAAACATGAGCTCAATTCATCAGACTCTCAATGATTCCGCAGCTTTCGCACTAAGTCCTCCAGCTAGCCCCGAAGTATCCAGGCGAAGTAGCAGCAATGGGGGAGGACCTCACCTCGCGGCTGGGAAGAAGACGGCAAGCAGCATATTGCCTAAACGTAGCTTGGCTTCAGATACTTCACGCGGCAAAGGCGCCCATCTGACTTTACGCGAGCAAGAAAAGGTAAGGACAGTTCTTTTCAAAACTGACTTAAATGTGGTTCGCAGTCTTGACCAGCCTCTGGCACTTATCACAGGTCATTGACGAAGTAAAGAAAGAAAATTTCAATCTTAAACTCAAGATATACTTCTTAGAAGACCGCCTGGCCAAATTAGCACCCGATCAAGTTGATCTCGCCCTCAAAGAGAATGTTGAGATCAAAGTCGAGTTTCAGACAGTTCGACAGGAGTTGAAGCGATACAAACGTCTACTTCTCGAAGCTGAGCGAGCTATAGCACAAACAAAAGCGGAGCGTGATGAAGTCATCCTACAACAAACCCTTCAATCTCAAACCGGATCTCCTCGTCTCCAAGATAAGGCTACTATCAGTCGGCTAGAATCGGAACTTCGACAATGTGAAGAGCAATTGGCAGCTACAAAGACTGCAAATGCGAAGAAAGTATCTGACCTGGAAGCTGAGTTGCGACAAAGCAAAGGAAAACTTGGAAAGGGATTTCATCAAGACACGGAAATTTCTAGCTTGCAGGCGCGCAGTAGCAACAAGGCGAATGAACCAAGACTCAGGCAGAATCAGAACATTGAAGACTGGGTCAAAGAAGAACATTTGCTTGAAATAAAAAATCTCAAAAGTGAACTCACTGAGGAGCGTCAATCGAGGGAAGATTTGATGGCCGATCATCAAGATTTGAAATTCCAATTATTAGACGCACAAAATGCCTTACATGACACAAGGTATGCTGGTCGAAGGACAGGTCGAGTGGACGAATTCGGGATGGCAAGCGATACGATGAGTCGTACTCATAGCAGACTTGACGACCACGACGAGTATGGGAGAAAGTCGACAAATACGCCTGCCTCCACTGCCGCATCTGCCAATCGTATCAAAGATTTGAAGAAAGAAGTTGATAATGTGTACTCGCAGATGGCTATCTTGGAAGATGAAAATGCCTCTTTAAGGTCTCAGATTACTGCTCAAGTCACAATGCTGACCACACGGAATACAGAGAAAGAAAAATTACAAGACCAAGTCCATAATCTCAAGAGGCAGGTAATCGAGCTGGAGGAAGACCTTCAAAGGGGAGATTGTGAGATAGAAAAGATCCAGGATCGCAATAATGATCCGATCGAGGGTGATGAACTAAGAGAAGTATGTCCAGTTTGTCCGATCTTTGCTAGAGAATAGTTGACTGATTGAACTACACCACAGGAGCTCAACTTGTACAGAGACAAGCTTGCTTCCGCTTTGTTGAACCTCGAAAAACGCGAGAAGGAGATCGACGAGCTCAATCAGGAATTGCAAGAGAGAGAAACCTTATACGCACAACAGATAGACCAAGTGAACCAAGAATGTTCCACTGATTTAGAATCTGCCAAGGCGGAGATGGACCATTTGCAAGATGTCAGTACGTGTTTCATGAACTTGTCGACAAAGGTTGACTCTACTTTTTGATTTGAAACCCCTTCTATAGATGATCGATGAGCGAGAAGATCAACTTGAGCGTTTAAGTGAGCAATTACGCGGTATTGTACTCCTGCAAGAAAACACAGAGAGATCTTTGCGAGACACCAATGCAAAATTGGAAACAAAATCTCAAGATTTGGAAGCCGCCCTTAATGAACTCGAGGCTACTCAATCGGATCTCAAAGAAGTAAGTTCTCTTCGTCAGTGTGCAAACTGCTTATAAAAGCTCACCGATCTTATTTGTGTATGGTACATATCAGATTGGCGCTGGTAACCGAGAGCTCGCAGTAGAAGTGGAAGAAAAAGAGACGCTCATCAGCAATCTTAACAACGAACTGGACGAACTGGACCGCGAAGCTTCGAATCGCACAGCTGTCCATGATCAAGTGGTTGCTAAACTGAAACAGGTGGGTCTCTTGTCACCCAACGTCTCCAATGTCTTGATCTTCCACTTATTCACTTCATCTCTCACAGAAACTCAGTAATACAAAGTCCGAATTAAACGAGCTAACCATCCAATATGAATCATGTCAATCGGAGGTCAAGTTTTTGCGTGAAAAACATGAAGAATTGGCCTTGAGACAAGCCGAGATGGAAGAACGACGTCGCAGTGAAGCGGACGTTAGACGGAGACTAGAGCGCGATGTTGATGACCTTGAAAGGGAACTGAGAGATGCTCGAGAGGAAAATTCGATGCAGATCCTTGGAATGAAGAAGGAAAAGCGGGAGATACAGGCTTCTTTCCAACAAATGTTGGATGCTAAACAGAAAGTACGGCATTGCTTTTCTCTGTCATTTCCCATATCCGTGAATTCATCTCGTATTGCTTGATAACAATTCATAGGCCCTATCCCAAGCGGAAAGCGACCTTGCTCACGTAAAAGGACGGTTGGAAGCACGTGAAGAAGATGTGGAGAAGATGCAAGCAGCTTTAAAGAGTGTAGAGACTGAATCTTTCAGAATTAATGAATCTCAATCACACGATCGGTTCTCATTGGAACTAGAGATCGAGAGGCTACACCGAGATCTGGCTAATGCTGCCAAAGATTTGAGCGAAGCCAAGCTGGACGTCAGCAAGGCGCAAAATGAAAGCAGGTCATTGAATTCTAAAATTCTCACTCTGGTAAGTTTGGAATTCAGTCCGGTCAATGTATCGCTACTCATTTTGAATTTAACATAGCAACAAGAAAGAGATGAACTAAGCGATCAATTAGATCAAGTCAAAGAATCGAGGAGACAACTCAATGAAAACTTCGAAGAACAGTCCAAGGTATTTTTTTTCTTCGCTGTAGTTCCCTCTTTGAGTCACAGTTGTTGATTATATCTTTTGCTAGACTATCCGCCAAGCTCAAAACGAGTTGGCAAGTGCCAAGGATCGAATTCAGACTTTGGAGGATGACCTTTCACAAGATCACAAGCGATTATCCAAGACTGAGACTCAGTACCGCGAACAACTTAGTGAACGCAATACCTTGTTATTGACCATCTATCAATACATAGACAAACTTGTGAACAGTGGGAGCAGCCTCGTAAGTTTCGCCTTTACCTCACTCTCCATATTCTTTCCCGTCAAGAAGGTTTATCATATAACACGCAATATCACACTTGTCATCAAACCCGGCTCTGCCCTGGATCATAGAAAAAAACCAGCGGTCAGTCGGATGCCAAGCCGTTCTCAAATTTCTCCGTGTTTCACGACTGTGTAATCAATCGATTACGAAGTTTAAGCGCAATTCAATCTGGATTCGACACAAAGATTAAAGAGTTTGAAAACAGACTCGAAAAACAATATGCGTATGTGATACTCCGTTCTTTTGAAGGGTTGAATCTTGTCTGATGTTCGGCCAACATGTTCTTGGCGCCGAATTTAGCTCCTTGAAGCGACAGCATGATAGTCGAATGCGGCAGCTGGATCAATTTGAGACTACCATCAAAGCTGCTACCGACACACAACGTCAATGGCGAGCTCGGGTTACAACAAAGCAGTGTGAAGTAGAATCAGCACGAGAGACAGCGAGTGAACTACAAAAACAGATCAATTCTCTAAAACAAAGAGCCTCGTTATCTGGAACTTCGCCTGGATCGATAACCGAACATAAACAAGCTGTCAATCGGGCATCACAGCTTGAAAAACGATTGTTAGCTACTCAAACTCAATTGAAAACAGCTGAAGAGAAATTGAGTGAAGCCAAAGTTAAAGTAGCTACAGCAGAAGGAAGTTGGCAAGCTAGGCTAAGAGAATTACAAGAAAGAAACCGAGAATTGGAAGAAAAAGTGAAACGTGAACGACAAGGTGCTAAAGAACGAATGAATGAATTAACGACTCAAGTTCAAAACCTTAAAGAACAAGTAGACGCTTCTGACAGAAGGGGCAAACAACTTGATTCTGTAATCAAGAATCAACAAGGCAGTGCTGCTACATCCGATTGAGCGGTGCATAAAGATTACCTTTTTGATCTCTGTTGTGTTCTTCATCGGCAATGTCCAGACCAGCTGATCTATCTTAACGTCTGTGATTTCCGTTTTGGTTTTGCTGCTCTTGTAAAAGTATTAATTCTTTCTTCAGTCTACATGTATTTCAATATTTGCTTTTTTGCAGCATTATGATCACGTAATTTATATCTTTAATGTGCTGCAATGTAAGATTGGTCAATAGTATCTGTTCACCCGTGTTCTTGTTGATCTTGGAAAGTAAAGTGCCTAAAACTGCACGGCGGTCTCCCTTACATCGGGTCTCTGTATGGGGGTCATGTAGTTTTGAGGTCAATCCAAAACTCAGGAGAGCTCTCAAAAGCACGTACCCTTATGACACCCGTCTTTCGCAATCATGTCCTCTTTTATCGGTTCACGCGTGCAATCGATTCTCATAGAACTTTCTGGCAATTGATATTTGTCTTGATGTAACCGTTTGATCAACATTCCACCGCTTCCGGAGCATACTCTTTATTGTGTTCTAGCGCCCGGTTGGCTGTACCTCTGCTACAGATCTTTATGCCTCAGATTTTAAACCCCGAATCTTTCAACTTGAACCACTTTCAAGTACAACGAGGTTTTTGTTCACGGCAAAATGGGGAACAAAACGCGGGTACCTGTGTTGGTGTTTCAGAGCACCACATCACACCTGGTTTGCAGAAGGAGATGGACAGCAAGTGGTTCTATTGCGAATGATGTTTCCCAGTCCATGAATGCCTCATGAGGGTGGATTGTGAGACCACAACAATTTTCAATAACAATGAAAGTCAATCTTATACGAGTGATCATGCCAGTTGAGACTTGTTTGCAATTCCTTTCTCCAGCCTTCCAGCTGTTGAGATGGCCTCTTCACTTTAGTAGTACAGGAAAGAGATGGTCAACTGGGGCCTTTGAATCGCGAATGAAACTGAATGAATAACACGATGTCAAAATGATCATCCAACCAAGCACTTGGCCTGAGGTTTCAACTGAGATGCAAATCGAGGATGTACCAAATCACCAGTTTGATATCTTGATTGGTGAGAATAAATTCTCAATCAACCAATTTTTTCCTGATCCAACACAGAAATCTAGATTATGCATGCGTGAATACACCGTAGAGCGGCGGCTGGATAAGTCTCTCAAAGCCGGTCGATGAGGATGTCTAGTCGGGGTTCTCCTATCTAATTTTGCACAAGGACAAAGTTGCCAGTCTATGATGGTCGATGATGGTAAAGTTGGCTAGCTCTTGAAATGTGTTGGTTTTATGGTCTTCGGTAGCTCAGCTTTACAAATTGAATTATCAACTAGAGTGAGATAATGTTGATAGTCACGATGGAGAAAGGATGGCTGGCAATTGTAGGTGGCAAAATGAAATGATTTGTCTCAGAAAAAGCTGTTGAACATTCACTTGAATGTTGTTTCTTTACCGCCCTCTTGACTTTTGACTTTCTTTCCTATCATCTATATCATCAACAATTAATATTCTTATCATTAGCATCATCATCATCATCATCACCATCATATTCTAAGAACAGACCATTAACTTCACTGCCAACACTTCCTCACCCCGTCATCCTCTACGACTTTAACGATCACTTGCTACGGGGGCGAAGTCAAGAATTAAGCGCAAGTCCTTGGGTCAATCAACCTATCCAACTGCTGCGGATAGATACAGTTTTAAGCGATCTGCAAACGACTTGGAACCGAGGCCGAGCGAAGTGAAAGACGATGCCGAGGGTTGAATTCGTGCATTCGCCTGTGTATCGGGGCTCAGAGCGAGGTGATTCTGGACCGAATAACGCCGTGACTAGTAGTGGAGCGCTATTAGATGAGGAGAGCCCAGGGAGCGAAGGTGATTCATCTTCATCGGTGAGTAGCACTCCTTTCAGATTTACATACTACCACTATCCCTCATACTTATCAAGCTCATCTCATCACTCGATCGAACTCAACTCAGCTCGTTGGCGTTCGCCCGCAATCACCAATTGGAAATCCATCTCACTTGAACGGGCGCAGTCATCACCGTAAAAGGAGTGAATCCGGGCGATCATCCAGCCCCTCCACCACCGACTCAAGCTTCGGCTCGCAACTTGGAAGCAACCTTCTCCACCGTAACTCGTCCCAGCATCTCTCCCACTCATGCTCGCCACCCATCTCGGACATTGATAGTAGTAGTAGTGGTAGCAGCAGCCGAAGCAGTGTCCAGATCCGTAATAAGCCACTAAGCATCTCATCCTCTCATTCTTCACCCACTTCTCGTCGACAGCACCGATCACCATCATCTGCCATACATCCTCACCCCTCTGCCACGCTCAATCCTTCATTTACTTCTCGCAACGGCTCGAATCACTCTAACACATCCCGGCATTCTGGTTCCCCCTACACCCGTGGTCCTCAACTGAAAATGATACCTTCAATTCTCAAAAACAAAACTCCCGAAGCGGAAGAACCTAGCGGTCCATCCTATGGGTTCGGCGCTGGTGATGAAGCAGATAGTGGCAGTGATGTAGATGACTTTGAAGGCGAGGACGGTGATGAGGGCGAAGCTGATCAACGCTGGGCCCATCACTACTGGCCGGAAGATGGTAACCATCTTTCTGCACCACCTGACTCATCGCAACCTAATGGTCCATATACATCTCAGCCTCCACATACACCTGGACGGATGGCAAGTACCATACGGCGTCGGATTCTCCAATTCAAGGAGCTGAAAGGTGTCACTGCTTATGATATCTCCGCACGTCGATTCACAGATGATGACAGTGGCGGAAGTGGCTACATCGATCTAGGAGGCCAGCACTCACCTTCAAGTACCGTCGGACATTCTCATAATGACCTCAGGCCTGAAGAGCGGGAACGATTCGAATGGCAGGATATGTTAACGAACGTCTTAACTGGTGAGGTCTTGAGGACTGAGAAAACTCGGATATCTGAAGTATCGGGTGGCAAGGAAGCTACGATCAGACAGCAGGATGCCTCAAGAATGTCCGACATTTGGGTTGGTCTTAGGGCTTATCTACGCTGTCGCACTGTACCCGACGAGCAGCGCTGCTTAGAAGGTGCCAGGTTACAGATGGATCATGTATTGGAGGATGTACATAACTTCAAAGTACCATTTGCAACCCCAAGAGACGAGGCTATAAGATTAGTCCAATCCCTCTTAAACCGCGTCGATTGGTGTGAATCTTTATACCCATCTAACAAGTTCATGTGGAGGGAGCGGCCGGCGTGGAGGGAAGCGGATTTCGTGTCAAAATTGGAGACTCTTCGCTCTTGGGATAACAATCATCGTGGATTGAGAATGCAGATTGGAATCTTGCAGAAATTCATGAGCAGTGATAAGCTGGAAGGCATCAATCCGTCATCTCCTCCGCTGTCGTCGTCGTCGTCCAATGCGGCTGTCACAATCCATTCAGCTGATCCGAACTTATCCCAGTTTTCACATTACGAGATGGCCAACGGCCAGCTTACCTCCTTCAGACCAACCAAACAGCTCCTTGAACCTTCGACTTTTGTCGAGCGAATCCTACAGGAAGGTTCACTTAATCGTCTTTTTGCTGAAAACACATTTGATTCACTCAATACGCTCATTGTTCGTGCGAAGGAGACGATGATCAAGTTTGCAAAGGCTTTCGAGAAATTGAGGCTTCCGTCTTATCGCGATGACTTGATCATCTTGGCCAACTTTGCTCCATCTTTGATGCAAGAGGTCTTAAGAATACGATTGCAAAACGCTAAACTACTGAAGAGTGATTTATCTGAATTATCATTGGTACTACTGCAACAACTCACAGACGACTTCAGAACCGGTTTAACTCACGCCACCGCCGTCAAGAAATCATGGATGAAAATTATGGATCAAGAGCCAAATTGGGATATGTGTCTTCCAGATGCAGATCGTCGCGCGTTTGACGAAACTTTGACACAGGCACTCAAGTTTTTCTTTAGACTATTGGATACACATATTCTGACCGGAAGTAATAAGACTTTGGACTCTAAAGATACAGAAATCGTTGAAGGCGAATGGAGCTTTTTGAAGTCTGCTGTAGCTGAGATCCAAGGTGGAGACGTACTCCTAGGTGAACATTATAGGTCAGTCTTTAATATGCTTTCTTCTCCTTATCCTCCGATGAGTCGAGTGGGTAATTGAGAAGCCAATCATGAAGGGATCCTTCGTCTTGTTCTGACTATAATTGAAATTATATTACTCAGTACTCTGACACATCGGCTCATGTCCCGTGTTCATCATTTCTTTGATGCAAATCTAGTCATCCTAGAAAAAAGGTTAAGCGCAAGAAAGGTCAATATTCCCGAACTTATCCGATGGAATGATCTCATCCTCTCATCTCTACGTCAGCGCCATCGTAAAGTCTTACGATTCAGTCGAACAATTCTTAGCCGCTTTGAAAACTCGGCTGAGTATGCTTTAGAAAAAAGCGCAATCGATCTGAGTTTGTTTGTCGGTGGCTTAAATGAGACTAATCATTTCTTGATCTACACTGGTAACTTTGAACGTGATGGTATCTACTTAGTCGGATCTCCGTCTTTAAGTCAACGCCCAGACATTGTCTCAGAATTATTATCAAAGTGCTTCCATATTCAAACTCAGCCTGATTATGAGCCACCAGCAACGAGGAATAACAAATCGTCTCCACCTTCACCTCTCCTGGCCCCATCCCCACCGCCTCCATCTAATGAGCCTGTACCAGCCGAGGATACTGTCGCATCGGCTGAACCAGCGGTCAACGAACCATCAAATGACGACGAGGAGGAATTGGGACATGAGTCGAATCACACACCCAAAGTCATCTATCCTCATTATATTCTGATCTTATCTCCACGAGATCCATTCATGTGGACCGGTCAAGTGATGAACATCGATTTGCCAAGGGTGGAATTGGATGTACGAGATCATCGAGTCCGGCTGGTGGCGGATGGGCCTGGTCAACACCTCTATCTCGCTAAATCCGCTTTCTTGGGCACTTTTCCCGCCTTTCGAGCCCTTACGGTGGTGGATCAGAAAGCTCATCTTTTCCGAGTCAATCGAGAGATCAAAAAGATCAAACGCGCTAGTTATCGAATGAGTGAAACGGTGATAAAGAGTGTAGATCGAATTATCCAAGCAGTCAAACAGGTGCCTGGATCCGAGCCTCTGCTTACAGCGTACTTCAGCTTCGCAGCCGAATTGTCTGAGCGCAGCATGAGATACATGGAGAAGGCTATTCGCGAACGGTATACTGCTCTATTGATCCAATTCGGAATCAAATGGATCACCTTTGTTTCGGATGACTGCAAGACTGATGATCTCAAGACTTTTAGGGCTGCTGTCAATGCTTTAGAGTTTGTGATGGAGAAGACTAAGGATGACATGATCCTTGAGCTGACAGAAGAACAATTTGTACGATTGAGATCAAAGGTAGCTCGATGTATGTCATTGTTAATATCACATTTCGATGTACTAGGCGCCAGAAGCAAAGCAGAAGCCAAGCAACAGAAAGAACGATTAGAGGCGCAAAGGCAAGAGATGAAGTGGAGATTAGAGACAAAGATGGCTCATATGAAAGGTAGAGATTGGTCTTTGACGGCCTCTGAAGGGGTTCAAGATCAGGGTAATGCGACGAGTAACGCTGGCCTCAATTCGGCTATGTCTAGCCTGAGAGAGAGGCGAGAGCGAGGGCGAGGGCCCTTGGCTGCATTAGATGCGGCTCGGCACGAGAAGTTGGCATCACTTGGATTAGCCGGACAAGAGTTAGATCACAATGCTACCGATAATCGTGGTCTACTGTTCCTTGCGTCATCTACATCCAATATCTCCATACGCTGGCAGCAAGGTCGATTCGTGGGTGGTGGAACATTCGGACAAGTTTATCTCGCTGTCAATTTGGATACTGGCGATGTGATGGCAGTGAAGGAGATCAAACTTCAGGACATTTCTACTGCTCCTAAATTGGTCGATCAGATTCGAGATGAGATGAATATCATGTCACTTCTTCGGCATCCTAATATTGTCGAATACTTTGGAATCGAGGTTCATCGAGATAAGGTTTATATCTTTCAAGAGTATTGCGAAGGTGGAACGTTGGCTGCATTGTTGGAGAATGGAAAAGTAGAAGAAGAGGTTATTTGTCAAATGTATGCTCATCAGTTGCTTGAAGGATTACATTATTTGCATTCAATGGATGTCGTACATCGTGATATCAAACCTGATAGTAAGTTTACACTAATATTAGCTTCAGACATGTCTGTCTTTCTATAATGCATTTGTGTGGCTATCTTACTGATCTGGTGGTTGCGTTGTTGTAGACATCCTTTTGGACAAAGAAGGCAGACTGAAATATGTCGATTTCGGCGCGGCGAAGATCTTGGCAAGAGAGAGTCGAACTCTTGCCGCTCGATCGAAAAGGAGCAAATCCATGATCAACAAAGGTATGATGGATCCGGGTAACCCTAAGGGTTCGGAGATGAACAGTTTGACGGGTACGCCAATGTACATGAGCCCGGAAGTGATCAAAGGTGAAGAGTTTGGGAGGCCAGGGGCGATGGACATTTGGAGTTTAGGATGTGTGGTATTGGAGTGCGTGACTGGACGAAGGCCGTGGAGTAATCTGGACAACGAATGGTACGTACTTCTTCTTTTAACTTGTCCCAATCACTATGTTAGATGCTGATATAGATGACGACATCCCGGCTGGTTCATAGGGCGATTATGTTTCATATTGGCATTGCTACTAAACATCCACCTTTACCGGATCCCAGCGAGTTATCAGAATTGGGAATTGACTTCATACGACAAGCTTTGACACTCGATCCAGTCAAGCGTCCCAGCGCGGCGGAACTTCTCAATCATGCTTGGATGGTAGACCTCTCAAGATGTTTAGAGATGATGAACAGTGGTGAAGATGAGCTGATGTGGTCTACTAGTGGCACTGGTCCGATGGCGGTGGCAGGAACTGGACATGACACAAGCCAACCAACCCCTCCAGAACTCACTCATCAATCTAGTTCCTCTTCGTCGAATTTTCGTAACTTGGAAAGCTTACAGGAAGTAGATGAGGGGGAATGAATCAAGGAAATTGGATTCAAAAGTGTTGGTTATCCTTATTATTCTTTTTATCAACTACTAATGATTGTTTATCTTACAAATGAAGCTATAGATCTTATTCTCTTTTTGTATAACTCTTCTCTTTGTTTTTTTTCTTTTCTCGAGAGTTTCTTAAGTTTTCTTTCTCTTTTTTTGTCTGGAAGACTATAAGCATATGTGTTGGCTTTTTAATTTTCGTACCTGATAATGATCATCTTTACTTCGTCTTGATGTGGGTTTTTCTCTTCCCTTGCGGCTTGCATTCAATGTTTGATGTGATGATAGATGTAGTGTCCAATGAAACCAAGATGTATATACAGTAATGGTAATTTGATTGGACAGATGATCATGTAGAGGTGGCTTTGAACCAGGTTGACAGGCTACTAGCCCAGTTAACCAAGCCTTGAGTCATGCACCCAAGGAAAAGGTTCATGATGAGCGCCGAGAGACTATTCACATTTCAATGGAAAGTTTCATTTTCTTACCCTTCTTTCTACATACACATGCTGCGCCCCGGATTTTCCAACGCTCACATCCTTGCAATCATGACTCGCTCCATGATTCATCTAGCGCTGGGGAGGAACCTGCGTACTGTCATCATTGTCCAGGGCGTCTGGTCATCCTCAACTCATAAAAGACTTACTCGTAATATATCAACGAGGGGATGACTGTCAACAGCAAGTCAAGCTCGATGCTTTTTCTACTTGGCGAGCGTCACGGCGTTTATCATGATTCCCAAGCTCGGCTCACTTGGTAGGAGTCGGCTTATTGGCATGGTTCATCCCCAGAGGTGGACGGTATGAATGATGGTCAAATGGCTTTTTTTGGTTTTTAAAATTTCGCTCTCACAGGCTACATGTTCCTTGACGTTGAATCTTTAGTTTCATATGTATGGATCTGTGGCAGGTTTGAGGGGTAGCTTCTTCACACTGGGCATCCCACCAGATTGTGTTACAATTGCTCCCTTGTCGATTTTGGTGTTACACTCGTGACCCAACACGGCACAAATACCATTCATCCCGTGCTGAGCGTATTTAATCCAGGGCATCGGTATCTTTTGGCAAAGGCAACTTGTCAGATGAGAAGCCTTTGAGTGCTTTCAAGCAGCATGTTAAATCAAGCACGGTGCCATATCATCGACACTTCGTTGATTCACCCGCCTGAAGCTCGCGAAATGGAGATTGTTTGAGAGTCAGACATGTTACTGTACACGTTTGGACCTAACTAGACTTTTCTTCTCTCTTCCTCAGAATATCGATTCTTCTTCTTCTTGTGCGCTCCTGATGTGTTTCAAGTAGTCCAGGGAATATGTCTTGACAGTCGCACCATAATGGAATGATTGTCCCAGACATTTCTATAACTTTGTTTTCTGCCGGCGCTTGTGGCTCTTCAGTCTCGCTCTCCATCAGTTCACGTCACGGTTCGTTTTGATTTACGCTCATCTCGTCTGGCAAACCGCAACCTTTCCTTCGTTCATTCCTTGAGATCCCACATTCGTTCCTCGACCCCGGCTACCCGACCGAACCGCTCGCCATGCGGCATCCCACATTCCTTTTCACCCTTATCATCGTCGTCTTTGTATTTTCCGTCGATGCACAAATGTCACCATCTTCAATGTCTTCTCTCTTTGGGGGAGGTGGTGGGTCAGGGCAAGGCTCGCAATCCCAGCCTACTGGCCCGCCCTTGAATCCGTCCGCACCGGTCAATGATTCTTGCAAAGCCTTGCCGTTCACGAAGGATACTTGGAATAAGCTAGGACTCGATCACTATCTCCAAACATATCCCGGTGGGGCAAATTTGAGCGTAAAGGTAAGCTACTCCATGATGCCATGAGATTTGTCGTCTACAAAAGAAGTAGAGACTTCAAGGTTGTCAATGACGATTCAAGGCAACCTCCTCTGTGTTCATGAAAGGTAGAAGAGGGTGTCTTGAATGTTGCGATCTTCTAGGCCATACAAGAATGAACAGAGAGCCCATATCGAAGCTGCAGCAACAAGGTTGTGCAGAAAGAATTCCTCACTGACCACATCCTCCTTCACACACACAGGCGTACGCCGAATCAAAGCGCGCCCCAAGTTTCGACTGTGGAGTTGGAAACCGGTGCCACGCAGGACAAGTAAGTTAGAATTTATGATCCTATACAAAATGATTTGCTCTATTGCAAGAGCTCACAAAACACCAACTTGTCCTCTGGTTCCTCTAGCTTTGCCAACCTGTCGGGCTACCTGATTGGTACATTCTGTTTGCCATACAGCAGTGGAATACACATATCAATGGTTTGGTCCAAGCTTTGACCTTTGGTATCAATTTCGTACAAGGTGAGTAAGGATTGGAGTCCTTTAGTAGAAGGTGCATGTAGTGTGCACCAGGAGACTGATGTTGTTGATCTTCTGCACAGCGACAATATCTCTCTTACTAGCATCACTGTCAGTCTGAAGGCTTGGTCACTTTCTTGTATCTACCCTAATCAAACCTGAAGCATAGGCTGACTAGAACTGACTAATCATAGTTTCCCAGCGGTCGATCTCGCCACTCTTGAGCATCTTAAGCTCGATCTGAGTGTCAATGGAGCTTTCTTCATGGTCTCCAACACCCTCCTTATCGATATCATGGCATTTTTCAACTCTTTCCAAGGACTCGTTGGTGATATCTTCAACATCGGTGGTAACCTTATGACCGCAGCATTTGAATTTGCTGGTGGCGCTATCCGTCTCCCACCAGGACCTGAGCGTGACGCGTTCACATCTGTTAGTGGAGTTCATGACCTATGAAGCGAAATTTGCAAGAATTTGAGCATGAATAATGATGTTTATTTCACTTCGTTCATAGTGGGCACACCTCTCGAACACTTTCGCAGCTTACGAAAAGCAAGTGATAGGGAGAATCTCGGAAGTGGTCGCCGGAACCCTTGAAAAAGGAATAAGCGCCAACGATGGGATTTATGGTGCTATTTCTAACGGAACCTACATCACCCCCGAGCCTTCAATATTTCTTCCCCTTTTGGCCGATGAACTCAAAAATGTTACCACTGTACTTTCATTGGTAGCAATTCTCAAATCGATGGTAGGTTCGGTTATGTGCTTAAATTATCTGCCTCTTAATTTTAGCTGATCATGAATTTCATTCTTTGTAAAGGATTCATTTGTCACCATCGGATCGGTAAGTCCACATTGAAGTCTGGGCAAGCTGATTATACAGCATGGGCAGTCATTTACCATTTGTATCTCGGTCTCCACCCAATCTTCACAACTATGACAGGATCTTTGTAACGGAGATGGAAAAAATGGAGCATTACCGGGAAATGATGTGTTATCATACTGCGATCCTGAAGGAACGTAAGTAATCTCGGAGCGCCTTGTGGCCCAATAATCTTCTTACTCTCCAGTTTTTTGAACCCGTCCTGATCTTTACCTTGTATTCTCAATCAGGATGTATAACATTGTCAGAGTATCCGATGACAAGGAGGAGAGAAAATTTGAGAACGCTCACGTAATTGAAGAAGAATTTGGCTACACTACTCAGTTTTTGACCAATGCCTCTATCAGTTGTCAAAACAAATTTGGCGGATTTGGTCACCCTCCAAACGCAACGATGTAAGTTTCTTCCAGCTTTTGAATAATGAGAGTGTCTTGAGCTGATATTACCACGTTTTCTCAATGCTAGTGATCTTCCGCTGGATCCCACTTCAGATTGTGTTGTAAATCTCCCAGTTTGTGATTGTAGAATCGAAGGTTAGTCCTTCAAAGCTTCTACACACAACCTGCACTTCTTTCAGGTGAAGATCAATTGTTTGAACTAACAAATCATCTATCCACTTTGATTAGATATACGCCATCATAAGAAAAAGCACGGGGTTGTTTCGGCCTGCCGGCAAGCTGGCTTGCCAATTTGATCCTTGCTCTTATGAACTATATCATAACACTTTGAATCCAATCGAGTCTTTGTATTCAACTTCAACAGCCATCTGAACTTTATTTAAACACATAAGCCTTCTTAGACGTACAAGATTGAGACATTTATTTAGAGTCCCTGGTGAGGTGGATGCAATTCAACCGGAATTACATTCTTTCAGTTTACGCCACATCATACCTCAAGTAACAATGACCTCGAAAAATAATAAAAAATGAAAATGAAAATGAAATTCCCAGATCACGTATTGAATTCCTAGTGAAGAAAGCAAACTTCCCGTTCAGTATGCTCAAAGAAAAAATAGAAAAGAAAAGTCTCAATCATGCAAAACCAAAGGTGATAGTGGATGTAAACACAAATATCATGATGAAAGTATAACAGTACACTGACTCGCAGCTCAAGGGATTCTGAGACATACACAAGAAGAGGTATGGAAGAAATATAAGCTTAGTTTATAATTATTTCATTTGAAACATGGAATATATACTCCTTCAATCAATTCCATTGATAATCTCACCATTTTCTCCAAAGACTTTTAAATAAAGTTTTTCTTTCGAGTGCATGTATGTATGATGATGTTACTGGCTCTGTCAAGTAATATACACATCATCATTGTGGATTGATTACCTGTCAAAAACAAATATTTTGGTTTTGGACTATTGTGTGCAACAAACCCCTTGATTAAGCTGTTATTTTTATGCTGATCACAACAGGGTGATAGAGATTTGAAATGGCTATCATCAGAGCCCTTCAATTGGTGGTTCCCCCACAGTCACTGATACAAGACCACATAGTTTATGGGCTAAATGCTGCATGAATTACTGGTGAGATGGCTGAGTTTTTTTTGGTGGGGACTTGGTTAGAGGGTCTTGTCAAGGCTGCCACTACACTATAGTAGTATATAATACTATGGGTATAGTATAGTTCATACTATATGGACAACTATACCAGTATAGTTGAACCTATCCTATACTGAAAAATATAGCCAGTATAGTTTGATTTACCAAATATCCTGGAAGATGCCTATACAAGTTTTCAAAAAAAACTGACTATACTTCAGTATATTTAAGCTATACTGAGTATATTTCAACTATACTATACTATGTTTAAAGCTATACCATACCAAGTATATTTCAGATGTGGTATAGTATAGTGCAGTATAGTATAGTATAGTATAGTATAGTGGCAGCCTTGGGCTTGAATCTTGAATCTTGATTATATCATTGTGATGCTACTGATCTTTGAAAGATAGTCAAAATTTATGAGCTTGTCCAGTCACATTGTAGTTGTCCTTAATGTGACTAGGGCTGTGACCCAGACCTGGACCTGCCCAACCAAATGACTTTCACAGAGCTGACAGTATGCACCCCAGGGAATCCAAATTTGGCTTGATGACAGTTGCATATGGCCCTGTGGGCACTTCAGGTGGCTCAGGAGGCTGACCCTGCCCGGGCACCAACCCTTTTGTTGCCAGAAAAATGCCTTCCCACTAGTCTTCTACCAGGCCTGGCTGGCCCTGAGCAGTTTTCAGAGGTCATTGGGTTCACTCCACTGCCAACATTTTTACCTCGGCTCTCTCAATCTGAGGTATTCTTGGGTCTAAACCCTCAGACAGTTCTTGTCTGAGGATTTGATCTGAGCAATTTTATGGCACATAAGATTTCCTTGGATTGAAACCTTGGACAGGATTTATCCAAGGATTTGCATCCAATGATGCCTTAGATTTCTCAACCCAAGGCAAATATGTTGGCAGTGCTCAGGGCTAAATTTGGCCCCGGGGCCAGCCCTGAAATCACAGGGTTGGGTCACGGCCCTAAATGTGACAGGTGATCATACATAGCTGAGGTAGGGCTGTGACCTGGCCCTTAGTGTGACAGAGTGGCCCTGGGCAGACCCAAGGAGATCCTGAAATCAATCAGGGCCAACCAGGGCACATCACAAATTGATTATTCTAAGAGCTAAAAAGAACCAAAGGGGCCAAATTCTGGCTTCAATTGTGTGTTTAGGTGTATGAAATTGTATATAAAACTTATATGGGCCTGCTCAGAGCTCGAAAAGTTTTATGGGAGCCTACTGTCAGGGTGGCTATTACCTTGACAGCTAAACAATCTGGACTTACGCTGTCTGAAGACCTGACTGGAATCCCGCTGGGTACGTGGGATGGTTGATTCTAGAGTTACCTAAGTAATTAAAGACGAGTGATTTGTTTATGAGTAATTCTTCTAAGAAGAGCACAGGCTTACTGTTAGTCTAACAGCGGTGGGAGCGTCACTCCTAAACCTGTGTTTTCTCTAGAGCTTATAGCTCAGAGTAGCCTGAAAATCCGAAGATAATACAGGGATCGAAGATAATACAGGGATCTTGTACAACTATGAGTTGCGAGAACGGTAGTATTGATGAAGTAGAAGTTCACTTACGGATAAATTCTAAGGAAATAATGTTCAGAGGTGAGGACCCTACTGAGCCGGTTTAATGATTATTAACTGGGTCGGGAACTAAATAGCAGCCTATGGAGTAGTAACGATTAAAGGGAGTCAATAAAGGTGGTGTACCGTGCTGAAAGTATTTCAATAGAAAGTGAGGGGGTGTTTACGTTTATTTTACGATGTTTTGATTTCTAAGTAGAATCTAGGTTCTAGAATCGAAGGAATAGGACGAACAGAGATTAATCGAGAATATCAGTACTAATTGCTAAAGGAAATAGTGCTAGATGATTGGGATTTAAGGCTGCTAGTGGATTCAGAAGATTTAAAGAACACTGACGATTTCTTGGTAGAAATTTTTATAAAGGTAAAATGTGATGCCTCTCTCTTCTGAGGGCAAAAAGGTTCGCGGCTTTATACTCTTCTCACTCACTGGTCAAGCCTTCAGCGAACGACATAGATGGTTATCAATCTGAACTTTTCTCTTAATACCGTCCGTAGTAAGGATATCATCCTTCGAACGTCGTGACGAATTCTTTTCTTTAGTCGATTAGTTTCCTTAGTGTTTCTTTCGAGTTTTATCATAACTACAAAACCTTTCGTGGTTTGAGAACTGTTGGATCTCTCAGAGTCCTCGGTAATCTTCACTCCGTAGTGATTCTATTCAGTAGGTCTCTTTTACTTTATTTACGTATAAGTTTGTATACAAGTTTTTCGATTCTTGTGAATTTATTTGCACTTATTAATACTATGATTTTACGTAATATGTCTTAAATGCTCTTGGCTCGTAAGTAACTTCTATTCCTTCGTTTCTTAGTTTGTTTGATATACTCAGTTCTTGTTCTTTCTCAGAGTGTTCTATTCATTTCTTGTATTCTACTTCTTGGTTGGGTCTTTGATACTAGACCTCTAAGTTGTGGTTTTTTCATTATGTGAATTCTTATGGTATTTTATAAATCTTCGATACTTTGGTTACTTTAGAATATATTGTACATGAAGTGTAAAGGATATTTTAATGATGATATAATAAAATAAAGGTTTTATTTACAACTGTGTAAAGACGTAGTGGTTCCCCATGTAGTCTATTTTGAAGTACTCTTGGGGCTTCTAGGTGTAAGATCTCGAGTACTGACATTCCCCAACCACAAGGTAGTGTATACTATTCTATTTTGATCTCTTCGCTACTCTGAATTTCCTAAGTAGAGATGATGAGTTAGGTATATCTTTGGCTTCAAGCCATTTGTCTCGGTCTGCCGTGGCATTCTTGAATCTTGCTAGGTATAATCTGACGTCTTTTCCGTTGATTCGGACTAGCTTATCGTCTATGATCTTCCTTATGATCCCTTGTTCTTCGTCTTCAATAGGTACTTCTGCTGTCTCTGTTATTTGCCTATGAGGAAATTTGGACTCATCTGATTTCTT